CAACTGCCAAAATACCCCCAAGTCTATCGGGCTCCTGCCAGTTAGGGCTTACGGTTGCGTTCCCTTTGAGTGCCAGAGGAGGTCATAGTCCCAGCCCCACAAGTGTCTCGATGTCAAGATTGCCTGTGCTCATATCTTTGCTGTCATGGCTCGCCAGATCCTATCTCAAATACTTGGCCCCATTGCATGCCTGCCCGCAGCTACCACCCCCTGCGATCCTTCGCTTCAGTAAGGCCAATCTAATAGATCGCCACTGTGGCTCAAATTTGGCTCTTGTGGGTGTACAGCACAAGAAATGTGCTGGTGGAGGGTTGGCAAGTTACTGGAATCAACTCAACATCTTAGCTATTCTTCCTCCTGCCATCGGAGTATTCTACTCCACATTTGATTCCTGCACCACGTACGAAATAAATCACGTACGAAATGTAGCATGCTTACCTTTATCGTTAACTTTCGTCTTGTCTCTCCACAATTGAGAACAGAAATAAATGCAAGACAACGCTGGACTATCACTCTAGTCCTCGTTTCTCCGCGGGATGAGGCTACGATTGATTATCCATTCCATTTTCCGAACTCATGGGATAATAGCCACCAACATCTAGCCTGAATAGACCTAGAACATACTGTCTCAGGCCCATTTCAGAAGCCCGGTAACATTCAGGGGCCTTTTACATCCATACCTGAGTCACATCGTCCCTGTCTTCACTCGAACGCTCCACTATCCATCCCTGGAGTCTTCATCATCAGAATCAAGTTCTCATGGAGAATCTCAGAGCATGGAGAAAGAATGAAGTCTTCCCAAACTAGGAGTAACCGTTTTCGGTCGAGGAGCTACTTTGCACACAGCAACGAGGACCCCTTGTAACATATCTCCACCAGAGCCGAAGGGAGCAGATGAATCTATTCCAACCGAAGGAGGTTTGGAATGGAGGTCTAGGTTCTCCCTGGGAGAAGAGAACGAGAACAGACCAGGCTTCAGGAACGTTGCATTGTTGGATCGACCTCTCCTCCTCGCAATTATGATCCAGAGACCTCTGTCAACGGTTATATAAGGGTCCCAGTATCCCGGCCAAGTCAGTCTCTCATCCATCCATCAATCATCCATCACTCCTAGCCATCACATCAAGCCTTCCTCACAGTTCTCTTTCAATTCCGATTTCTTCAATCACCAAGCCAAAATGCAGTTCACTCTCACCAAAGTTCTTGCCTTCGCCCTCGCGGTGGCCACCGGCGTTTCTGCTGGCGCTGTCGCTGATTCCCAGGCCATCAAGCAACAGACTGAGGGAAAGTGCGATATTGGCAACGTGTCTTGCTGCAACCCAACCAACGTCGACAAGACTGATGGCTTCCTCAACAACCTACTCGAGTGGGGTGTCGTCGGCAGTCTGGTCAACGGTCAAGGAAGCGCTTGCGCTCCGGTCAGCCTCATTGATGAGCTTGGTATTCTGGGTATGAGTGATTCTTTACATTCAAATCAAACCTTAGCCTTGAAAGATACATCACTGACATTTATGAACGCATGTAACAGCCCTCGTCAAGGATACCCCCGATGGACCGGTCTGCGAGAACGTCATTGCTTGCTGCCCTGGCCAGGGTGCTCAGGTACGTTTGCCTCTCAGTTTTCCTTCCTTTCCAGCTACATTGTTCTTTCTTGTCTCTAAGGTAGTTCTGTTTATGACTAATATGGCTGTTTCTGTGCAGTGTGTCGCTATCGGTGACGGCTCTGGCTCTGGCTCCGGCTACAGCGACTAAGCGGGCTCACGTCCCTCGTCTGAAATACGGTTTCAGTCTCGGTGACTGACATACTTGACTCAGGAATAATATGAAGCAAGCTCAACTCCAGATTTTGCTCTTTCCCGAGAAAAGTGTCTTGTTGGGCTGTGCCGGTGTTGATTGGACTCCATTGTTTGTTTAGATAAAGAATGCTTTAGAGTAGTTTATAGTGCAATTTCTTATAAGAAATTGTCACTTTAGTTTAGTCTCAATTATATGTGCTTTTAGTAATCTTTGTTTCTTGGATACTTGTATTGAGTGAGATCACATCTTAGAGAGCATTCGTAATGCATGGACGTCGCCTCGGTTTCTTGTGTGTAATGTAATAGCTTTTATCCAAGATACTTCAATAAGTACTTACAACTCGGCAGTAGTAATGATAATCTAGTAGTTGCGATTATATTATCGAAAAGATGCACTTCTTTGGTTGCAGACGAAATTTGCCTTGTGAGCTATAGTTAAAACACCACTGAGATACAACCTGTTATAGCCAAACATCTTTGAATATTCGCGAAAGCTTTATCTCGGTATATTATGTCTGGTGTCATATGTAGTAATAATGTCAGAGTGGAAATAATATACTGCATATATATATATTCAGCACCACAACTTGGTACATGCTCTATTTTCCAACTCAAGTACTAAACCATCTCTGCATGTCTGTTCTTTGTCAGTACGTAAAAACGTTCCTTCAAGTCTACACATACTAATTATGCTTTGTGTATAGTGGTAGAGCCTGGATAGTATACCTGTTCAGGAAAATATATTCTCACAACAGGAACAGAGGGGGACATCAGTCGTATCGCACGAGTGCAGATCATTTAAATGAATATGTTAGGACTTGACAATAAACAAATGAATAACAGCTAGGCTCATCTCTCATGGGAAGTGTGGTTTTTGGAATTGAGTAGACTATTTAACTATCCCATTGGCTGTCTATGCATGCCTGAGGTATTGTCGTTCAAGTAGTCTTTAGGGTATCGGCGTACAGATATACAAGCTGACTACTAGGCACTAAGTTCTGATTGACGAGACTATACACAGCAGCACCCTTCGGTCTGCTTCACCAAACACGAGCAAACAAGAGCTACATTTGATGACCTCTGTATGTTTGGGGCCTGAGGCTTTAACGTTCAGCCCCACGTGATGTCTAAGACATCATTGATGTGCCTGAGGCTGCGAAAAGGGCGTCGTGGGGAAGAAGTCCTTCTCGAATGCTATGGAAAGATTGAGTAGATATCATGATGATTTCATATACACCATGCTTTTCTAGAATCTCTCAGAAAAGTCTTCCTGCTGCCCTGTGAGGCGAAGTGTGGCAAAAAGTGGCGTAAGCGGATGCCGGGGTGTGGAGGTGTCTTTTGTAAAGGATGGATACTGATACGGGCCGAATCTTGCCTCCGCGTATCTCATTGATCGGCAATCCCACCGCCTGCAGCTTTCTGCCCCTTTTGTACCCCATCAAAATCGCGCACTTGACCTATGATCGACCATCTCTATCAGCCAACTCTTTGTACTTGAAAAATTTCTGTCAACGAGATGATAAAAGCAAGAAGGGGATAATACAGGATCCACTGCGCCCCGCGCAGCCCCTGCGGGGTACAAAGGACAAAGAAGGAATATTTTGCGATCACAGAAGTAGTGGGCTGGCAGAATTCAGAGATCCGCTGATAACGCTAGCGCTTTGTTTTGCACTGTGCCAAAGTAGGAATTTTTTGCGATATTGATGGACTGGCAGAATGCTGGGGCCCACTGATACAACTCCAAAGTACGGAGTACTAACGGTCTTTATACTTTATAGACATGTCCAAAGGGACAGCATTGTGACATAGTGGCCTTGTCATTGCTGGTCATTGCCACAGTGAAAGCGAAGGTCGGTGATTTACGAATCCTTTGCACTTAAGTAACTGATAATGCTGGAAATTATCGGATTTTCCGCTACTATAGAAGTGGAAGTAGGAAAATCAATTGAGAAGCATATCCATATGATGTAGGATGAAAGAACAATAGTAGACAGACTCGTAGTCTTGTGTTCCTTCTGCAGGACAAGCGTATGATGCTAGTCAACAGTAAAGATGAATTGCCGTAAGACTAATCGGTTGAGGACCTTGAGATGCCGACAAACACTATAAGCAACCGTCAATAAGCACTAATTGAATCCGCTCATGATCACAGACAAGCTACTTGTCATCTGCTGAAATATGTGATTGGTCTGAAGTGATCAGCGAAGTTCTTCAGTTGTCAATTGGGATTGATAATAATGTTGTTTCCAATTCGGTTTGTGTGTGTGTGTGTTTGTTGTGGTGGTGGGTCTCGAAGATCTCTATGATAAGAACCAGAGTTGGGACTATCGTGGACACCCCACGTTTTCCGCAATGACTTTCCCCTTGGATGTGGGCTTACAGCTCCGACGGGGTTAGGGGAAACTCCGCGGGGTTGAAGTCGGCCGATACTGTTTAGGGGTATCTGTCTACTCCATAGCCTTTCTTGTCATCTACTGTTTCAAGCAGGTGGGCAAAGGGATCAGAGTTTTCATCTATTAATAATTATGTAGGGATAGTCAGTCACCTGACATCCTCTTTAATTGAATTTCGGAGTTTTAATAAGGTTGGATGCCTGGTGATGCCTGATAATGCCTAGTTCAACAGGAGCTTCGTAATTAATCGCTTTCTCAATAATTGATTACGAACGGGACCAAAAGTTACTATAGGGAAGACGTTGAGCTGGATATCTTGGCTCATTTCCACCGCGGTCCTTGTACTTTGCACACCTCAGAGAAGGAGAGGAATATTTCCAAGCTCACCGAGAGCCATTGAAACACCGACCAGGTCCTCGAGGGGCCAGAACAAGCAAAATAAGCCAGAACAGCCCGATCAGCCAGATCATGGAGGGTCGGGGCAATTAAAGGGGGTCAGGTGATGCAGTCAGGTGGCACATGTTCGGTATCAAAAGGGGCAGGTGAGATATGAAGTATCAGAAAATCTCCCAAGACCTAAGGAAAAAAGAAAAAAATCTCTGATGGCCACCCGCACTAAAAGCTGACCCCGGACAAAGTACGTTATGCATCTTGGTCGGGATTGATTTTGGACTGGTCAGGGGCTGAGAAATCCTGGAGCATCCCGCGGCTGCCGACCGATGATCACCTGATGGTCTAGAATTGTTCTGCTTTATAGCCCTTAATCACTTGGTCCTACATACAGTAATACTCACTGTACTCCGTAGCTATCCAGAGCTATCTACTTTGTACAAGTGGACTTGCTTTAATTAAATTAAAAATGTGCAGGGATTAAGGTTCGTCCGAGAGCGTGTCCGGTGATGCCGGCAGCCCGCGTGTGCGGCGCGACCGAAAGAGTTGATCTGGTTAATCTGCTTTGGCTCACCTGCATTATGATTCTATCTACTGCGTATTGTCGTTCAATGTTGCTACTGTGTCTTCTCTTCCCCCACGCGCCGACCATTCGAATTTTTATTATTCTGGAGCTTCACCGGAATTCCCGCCACCGCGGTTCATCTTCCAATGGGTCGGAATGGAGCCAATTGCTCGTCGAATCCTCCCTCCTTCTTTGTGCTCCATCCAACTGGGGCCACACCCCCCCGATCCACCATGGATCCAGTCCGCGGCTTGCTTGGACAGCACCGGTCCGAAAAAGCAAGGCTACCGGTCCATAATCCATCTATTCGAGGGCTATTGGAAGTTTACAACGCCACCGCATGATGTAATACTATTCCCGGCAGACTCGGCGGCGATCAGAGCGATCGGCGGTCAAAACCGGCGGTGACCCTGCGAAGCTCCAGAAGCTCTCCTTCAACATTTTGTTTCTCATTCCCCGGCCAGCTTTGAAATAACTTCCCTTGCTCTCCCTCCCCCTTTTCTACCCTCTTCTCCTCCTTCTTCCTCTCCTCCTCTCCTTTCTCCTTCATCCTCCCATACACAATGGGTCCCCTCAAGCTTAACACCGCGAATTTGTCGCAAATCGTGGCGGCAGGTGCCGGCCGCGTTAAGGTCCCGACTTACCGGCGCGGTCCTGCCCTCAAGGAAGGAATTGTCCATGTCGGCGTGGGCGGTTTCCATCGCGCGCACCTGGCGGTCTACGTTGACCAGCTGATGCAGAACCATGGCGTGACAGACTACGCTATCTGCGGTGTTGGCCTTCAGCCCTTCGATTCCGCTATGCGTGATGCCCTGGGCTCCCAGGACAACCTCTACACCGTCATTGAACGTTCGGCCAAGGGCAGCTTTGCCAATGTCATTGGCAGCATCAATTCTTACCTCTTTGCTCCTGATGATCGCGAAGCCGTCATTGCTAAGATGGCGCACCCGGATACCCGCATCGTGTCTCTCACCATCACTGAGAGCGGTTACTACTACAACGAGAACACCCACGAGCTCCAGAGTGAGCACCCGGACATTCAATTCGACTTGGACCCCGCCAACGAAAAGGCCCCCCGTACTACCTTCGGTTTTCTCTACGCTGCCCTCGCCCGCCGTCACCAGCAAGGTCTCATGCCCTTCACCGTCATGTCCTGCGATAACATGCAGAAGAATGGTTCCATCACCCGTCACATGCTCGAGTCTTTCGCCCGTCTCCGCAACCCCGAAGTCGCTCAATGGATTACTGATAAAGGTGCTTTCCCTAACGCTATGGTCGACCGTATTACTCCTCAGACGTCTCCCGCCGATAAGGAGTCTCTCGCGAACACCATGGGTATTGAGGACTCTTGGCCTGTCGTCACCGAACCGTTCATGCAGTGGGTCATTGAAGATCAGTTCTCCGACGGCCGTCCGCCCTTCGAGAAGGTCGGCGTCCAAGTGGTCAAGGACGTGCACGCGGTCGAAGAGTTCGAGAAGCACAAGCTCCGTCTTCTGAACGGCAGTCACTCCGCCATTGGATACCCTGGTCAGATGGCAGGCTTCAGCTACGTCCATGAGGTCTTGGAGAACCCGGATTTCAACAAGTTCGTCTGGCAGATGATGCAGGAAGAGGTCAAACCGTCCTTGCCTGAGATTCCTGGTGTCAACATCGATGAGTACTGCAAGACCCTCATGGAACGTTTCTCCAACCCCACCATCATGGACCAGCTGCCCCGTATCTGTCTCAACGCATCCGGCAAGATCCCCCAGTTCATCATGCCCTCGATTGCCGAGGCTATCTGGGTGAACGGCCCCCTCCGCCGTCTGGCCTTCGTCGCTGCTGCTTGGTTCCGCTACATCAATGGTGTTGATGACAAGGGTAACACCTTCGCCGTCGAGGACCCTATGCGTGAGGAGCTCCAGGCCAAGGCCCGTGCTGGTGGTACTAAGCCCTCCGAGCTGCTGAGCATCACGAGTCTGTTCGGTGACGATCTGCGTAACGACAAGCGCTTCATGCAGGAGATCACCAATGCTATGGAGGACATTGCTCGGGACGGCATCTTGAAGACGCTTCCCAAGTACATTAATTAGTCGCTTCGAAAAGGAAGCGGTGTAATTAATCTCCTTGCCGGTGTTGAATTTTTCTACGATTAGGGAATGTTTGGGACTGCAAGCGATATTTGAACTTTTTTCTTGGGTTACATGTGTCATGCGGGTGCGGTTTTTTACAAAAAGGGATGTTAAAGGATAGATAATGATAGATTGATCTAATGCTATGTTTTGGGATTCGGGCCACGTCATAAACTGACGGGCCAATGGTTATGGTACTCACTTCATTCTATTGACATTTAATTCCCTCCCCTGAGCTGATAGAGAATCATGAAGATACAATATTCCGTAAACTCAAATCCTACTACAGAGGTATATGCTATCCAGGTGACTCCAGCGTCCGAGCCACTCAAGGAATGCTACTATAGTAATAGCAACGTGTACTCTGTAGCTCTTGAGTAATGAGTTTCCCGACCGACCATCTACTTCCCGTTACCAACCACCACCAACAATCCCATCACCACAACAAACCTTACGCCGCAGTAGGTTGCTAGCTAACTAACAGCGTTAGCACAATTCTCGCCCATTACCTAGGACCATAGTCCTGGAATAGAAAGATTAATCCTCGGCCCTTGACCGCCCAAGCTCATAGATAATCCTTTGCATCAATCACATGGTCGGCCGCCACCAACTCTTATGCAAGATGACCTGCACCCTTTTGTCTTTATCATCTGCATAACAATCCTCCGGCATCAAGAACACGTAACCAATCCAAATCATCATTGCTTGGCTTGACGTATGTATGTGCGAGATGTCTGACACGCCAGATTGCACCGACAGATTGGATGAAAACTTAGATATGACATGCTGCAGAGTGCAGCAGTAAGCAAGAGATACCTCAAGAGATACTGACTACTCATTACTACCAACTTAAAATTCAATCTGATTCAAGGCCACGTATCCCTCCATCCGACTGACTCGCCAACAGCCAGTCAGCCAGCCCCTCTCATCCCTTGATGGGAAGGGAAGGGATGGAGATAGAATTAGAAATAGAGTACAATAAGCCCCTTCCGAGATTACCGAGATTTAGCATACTATGCCAAATACAACCACAGGACATGACCTACCTTATCTAGCCAGAGCTAAAGAGGTTCTACGTATCTAACTATGGCTTACTCTACTTGACCAGGATATAGCAGAGGCCAACAAAGACCCGCCTCACCTCAAACAGTTCCCCTCACAGTATCCTGGAGAGAGGGTACCTAAATAACCGCGCAGCACCCAACTCTCCAGTGAATTAAGAACCGAGCAGTTCTCATGGCTAGACCCACGGTTCCGTAGTTTGATTACCAGTGAATACTAGCATTAACGCTGATACCCTGTGCCGTGCTCCGCTATTTACATACTTTTCCAGCCTTTTAACCCTCCGCAATGCCGCTTTTCCCATAGATGAAGCCCAAAATCAGCTCGATTTTTGTCGTCAAAAATGAAATTTTGCGGTCATAATTCTATAAGTGCCGTTCTATACTCAAGAACGGCAAGGTGGCCGAGTGGTTATGGCGTTGGTTTTAGGTTTAACTATCCAATCACCAATTCGAAAGAGCGTGGGTTCGAATCCCATCCTTGTCATTCCTTTTTTGTCGGTTGATATTCATATGTACTTTTTGCCCAAAATACATTTATCATTCTCCTGTTTTAGTGTTTGATAGTCCTCTTTTTCCCCACTTGCAGGCTTATTTCTAGGCTAAATACATACATAGTATTCGGTGTGTATGTTCGTCAATGTTAGGGCAGACTACGCAGGCGTCTGGGATGGAACAAAGCTGCTTCGCTGGATTGCGGTAGAGGAATATGGTCCTTGTGTGATTGCTCACGGGAAATCACTTAGTACTTTGTATTCTGTTTCGGAAGATTTATTTATGAATGAGAAGTATAGTAAGAACGCCATACTGTTCTCTATTTGCACTCGTCAATAAGTTCGGGGGTCTGGTCAGGAAACATACAGCGCTCCGTGCTAATCATGTGTTAAATCCACTAGCAACTTCCAAAAGTAACATCAGAAGATAGGCTATCATATCTATCGTGTGAACGCAATTGCCGCTCGCCTTTTTAGAGAATGTCAACACTAACATCGCTCAGGAAGGCGTTGGCACAATGCTTGTCCATGCCTGTCGATAGCTACTCCAGTTGTGTTTTGCCGATTAAAGTCAATCTTCTCACCCTCGGTGAGTGAAAGGAGATAGTTTAGTATACTATCATCGGACTTCATGGAGACAGAATGCAAAGCATTCCGCCCATCTTCATCGGTGGAACTTACATCGACATTGTTCTCGATCAGCATCAGTGCCACAGAGATGGCCCAAGCAAGCTTAGTGTAATGGTATATATTCATTCTCTGACTGAAGATCGATATCTTCACCTTCGGCACTCAGCTTCTTGGCTGTCTCCAGTTCATTATTGATGCTGAAATGACATAGTGGCATATGTCCAGTCGCGGATTCTGCGTCAAGATCAGCTTTTAGGATCTTGGCCACTTCTTTATGACCATCCTTGCAGGCATAATGCAAAGGTCTCATCCGGTCCATTCCTGTGGTCGATAGTGGCATCTTAATCAATTAGCGTCCTAACCACCTCCAGTCCACTATACAGGCATATGTGAAGCAAAACGGGTCCCGGACTGACCTGGCATTATAACGGCCGGGTACTTGGAGTAAGACAATACTCACTCAGTAAACGACCCTTCAGAGGCTTGTATTCAAGCGCGGGGCGCTTCGTAATCAGAAGGTGTCTTTCGTCTTCATCTATGTGGACTGGAGCTCGCTTGCCTCTGAGCATAGCGTGGTCACCACAAATACTGGGCTATTACAATGAGTATACTGCTGTGGTAGCACAAGATTTGGATACCAGAAAACCTATATAAAGGCTCAACTGCTCTCCCCTTTGTCCCCTTTTCTTTTCAATGCAATCAACTATACCAACATCCTAAACAAGTCAATCCCGGTTTAATCATTGAATTCCAGCCCTGAAGATGCAGTTTCAGTTCTCCACCATTCTTCTGGCCCTCGGCCTTATCAGCTAGGCTGCTGCCCTTAACTGCTACGCCACCCTTAACCTTTGCAATGAAGAGTGCGGCGACGGCGAGTACTCTTGCTCCGAGACCTCTGGTGCTTCTGCTAGCACCCCATACTGCTGTGCCTAAACACATCACCGATGAATACTTTTGTCCTGATCTTACTCAGAAAACACGAACTTACTCATGTGCGTCCAGAACCTGCTTTCAATTGGCTTTGCAACATAGCAGACAGGACTATTCTGCAGGGGCAAATGCTCAATCGACGGATGCAAATAGGAATGAATGGAACCTCTTTTCGACATGGCTTCAACCTGTTGTATCTAAAGCGATATCCATGATTGACAGGTTTCACTTCATACACCTTGTCATTTAAAACAAATTTATCTGCTTATTACTTCAATGCCGTTCTAGAGGTGTTGTGGTATGGACTATATACTATTGGGAACCCGGATGACTCCCATACCATTTAGGTGGGACTAAACGTAGTGCAACCCGTCATTATATATAAATATCATCCAACCCAGTGTACAAGAAACCAACACATCTATACCTATCATCTTCTCGTCGTCAAGTTGGCATAGGAGTATTTGGGTCTCCTCTACACCGGTCAGGAATATTTTCGAGGTTACCAGACACCTGCTACGTCGGCGAACCACTTTGACAAACAGGACATACCCAAGGTCATTGCAGCAGTTCTGAAGACTGTCTCTTAGTTTATATAGCAAAAGAAAAAGGCTTCAATCAACAAGGCCTGCTGGCCCAATGGTAAGGCGCTTGACTACGGATCAAGAGATTGCAGGTTCGAATCCTGCGTAGGTCATTTATTTTTGTCTTTTTTTTTTTTTATCCCGCTCCCCATTACGAGCTGTTGATGGATGTATGTGACCTTGAAGTAGATTTTACTGTGCGTTCCTTGTTTGCATGGTTGCGCTTCTCCCATTTATATACGTCGCATATTATATTCACACCCCACTTGAAACCATGAGTGGTACTATCCGGCTGCCAAACCACATAGTTGTTCTTATGCGCGAACCTACGCATCAAGATGTCACATCAGCAAAATGGTTATTATTAGATTATCATTAAGTGGAGTCGGTCACTATAAGTATACAAATACAAACATTCCAGTCCTAATCGTACACACAACAACTATACCACCCCCCGCATAATCCCCGGCTGAATCTCCTCCAACATATCACTCGACTCGTCCCACACCCTTTTCTGCGTCCTCTTCCCCTCCTCACTCGTCACAAACGACGATAATTCTCGCGGACACACCACTCCATTCGACATATACTGTCCATGACTTTCCCTTCCCGCTGCTGCAGCCGCCACCAACGTCCTGCTCCCCACCTCCAACGTCCTCCCCAACAACCGCAATACAATCCTAACGACCACATTATCCATCTCCCTGGATAACTGCGACTGACAAAGTCCCGGATTCAGACAATTCACCACGATATCGTCATCCCCGATACGATCCGCCAACTCCCTCGTCAGCAACACATCCAATAACTTCGACGTGCGGTACCGCTCTGCCATCGTCCCATAGTACCGATCCGGCTCATCCAGCGCCTCAAACACACTCACCCCTTTCTCTGCGGGCGCATTCCTCTCGGGAAATTTCGTGAATGCATGGACCTCGCTCGCCACTATCGACAACACAGGAGTGTGTCCTTCTTCCCCCTTCTGTTGACATAGCCTCCTCGTCTCCCTCAACTTCGGTACCAGTAGCACCGCTAACAGAAACGTCGAAATGACATTGACCGTGATCGTGCGCTCATGACCTTCTGCCTTGGAATACTGAAACGTCGCGAGACCCGCGTTGCAGAGAAGGATATCAAGACGGTCGAGCGTAGTCGTTGCGCGCGTAGCAAACGCGCGGACGGAGTCGTAGGAGGCCAAATCTAGGGGCCAGACTTCGATGGTTTGAGGGTCGCAGGTGGGATGGGCATTGAGGATCTCGGCACGGGCAGATTCACCAGCGGAGAGGTTGCGGACGGCGAGGATGAGTTTGCCTATGGGGCCGGAGGCGATGTGATGGGCTGCTGCTAGGCCGAGACCGGTGTTGGCGCCGGTTATGATGACGGTGCGGTTGTAGAAGGGTAAGGGAGGGGGTGGGAGAGAGGGGGTGACGAAGAGTTGATTGTAGAGAATTGTCGCCATTTTGATTGTTGTTTCGATTTGATGATTACCGAGGATGAATTGGGGCAGAGATGGATGGTATATAAAGGTGGTATGGTGGTGATATCATGGAATGATGGAAGACGCGAACAACATGTAGATCATTACCAGCAACGGATATACCGGTCTTTGGGTCAAAAAGTGCGCGATAAAGTGCGGTGATAAGCCGGGTTTAAGGTCCTAGCAGGTCTTTATACACGTGGTGATGTCAAGAGTGGGGCGGGTTTGCTCAGAATCAAGGACAATCTTTGTGAACAGATATTAGATTGATAAGTTTGAAAAGAAAGATACTTTTAGCCTCGTTTGATACGATATCAGATGATCCTGTACCAGGCACCCGTTTTCTTACAACCGTCACGGGCCACCATGACTCACCTGCATAGATGCCTGGTCATAATACACATTTAGCTCGCAAATGACATCGATGAGTTATTGAGCCTCAGACTAGACCCTTTCAGTGCCAGTTCAATAGCTTATTCTTTTCTGACGTATGCGACTTGTCATTTATGGTTATCTCGGCAAATCATTTTAACGACGTTGAATACCCTAGATAAGATCAATGCACAGTTTACAAGTTATAGAGGAGTTTGAATATACCCAAGGACATCACAAGCAACTTATATGGTCTCCGTTGTTGTTGTTGTTTCAAGACGATGAATGCATGCTTCGGGGTCAACTACCCCGTTGCGGTCGGAGTTGATGCGATCGGTTAGCCGAGGACTTTAACCGGCGGGGCAGAGAACACCGAGCTATTAAGCGGACAACCGATTCCAATTTAAATGAACTTCAACTTCCTTTCATACTGATCGCAGCTCAAATATACACCGAATAAGTCATAGTCGAGGTACGTATGCCTGCTGTAGCCTGGAGCACTCCCAGCGGAATTATGTACTAACAATCTACCCAGGATCATTACCACTATGCCCTTCGAAACCGCCATTACCTCCACCCTCCGGGGCTCTTCCACCGCCCTTGGTTTCTGGCTCACGTATGTTCATCCACAACCAGTACTCTTAGCCCTTCCTATCACAATGAACTAACCTCAATTCGATGAATGCAGCCTCCCTAGCGCCGCTGTCGCCAAGACCATCCTGCACGGCCAGCCCCCCAGCCCAGGCCGATTCAGCTGGGTCCTAGTAGACGCCGAGCACGGATTAATCTCTGACCGCCATTACTATGAGGTTAGTAAACCTGCGATTTATCCAATGCAGTGCTTCGATTAACCGATAATAGCTTTTCAACGCCATTGGCTCCGAAGACGTAAGCCCGATCGTTCGGGTTCCCTGCGCAGAGGAATGGATGATCAAACGGGCGCTGGACGCCGGTGCTCACGGAATCATGACTCCCATGTGCCATTCAGAAGTGCGTATCCAAATTCCCTAATAGATTCTATCCAAATTCCCTAATAGATTCTGGATCAAGTCAGAGGGAATGCTTTTTAACAATTTGAAATAGGTTGAAGCCGCCAAAATCGTCCAATGGACCAAGTACCCACCCCTTGGCACACGAGGCTACGGCCCCATGTTCGCACCGCACGCATTCCCCGGCGTCGCGCCTGGTGAAGAGTACGACGAGGGCTCGCAAACAGGCACTATTGTGGTTGTGCAGATTGAGTCGAAGGCTGGTCTTGAGAATGTAGAGAAGATCGCTGCTGTGGAAGGCATCGATGTTCTGTTCATTGGACCCTTCGATTTGGCGAAGCAGTTGGGTGTTACGAGGGGCGGGGAGGAGCATGAGGCGGCTATTCAGCGGATTTTGAAGGCTGCACATGCAGCAGGGAAGAAGGCCGCTATCTTTTGTACGGATGGCAAGGACTCTCGGGTGCGCGCGGAACAGGGATTCGATATGATTTCGGTGATTACGGATGTGGGGGTCTTCAGGGCGGGGATGCTGAGTGAGTTGAGGACTGTTACGGAGGGGCGGTAATTTGGGATCTGGTAATGATAGAGATGTAAATGTTCGACTACCAGGTTGAAGTAGAGATAGCTAATCATTTCATTATGGCTCTTCTATATGATCGCTATCTTATCACTGTGTTGGAGCTTGGGTTGGGTGGTAGCTGTAGCTGAGGTCTTGGACACATGCGAGTTTACCACACGTATGTGTCCTCTGGCATGTGAATTCCATCGTTGATGGATGCGCTCTTTTGGCTAGGATTAGCATTCTGCCTATGTCTAGATTTGAAGCCGGAATACATACCATCGCTCTACCACCATCAACCAAGAGGTAGCCTCCGGTCATGTAGCCCCCGGCTTTGGAACTCAGCATCAGACACGGTCCGACAATCTCTTCGGGATATCCAGGGCGCCCTGTTCTATTAGAGCTGCATTATGCAAGGTGTTGGGCAAGTCACGTACCGGCAGGAGCCCGTTTAGCAGCACCTTCTGAGACGGGATTGAGGTTTTCCGCGCTGCCAGTGGTATCAGCGAACGTCATCTCGCTGGGGAAAATTCCGGGGCAGATGCAGTTAACGCGGACTTTCATACTAATGTCGTTGTTAGGAAGAGTATTTGGAATCAAGACTATCATAGTTCCAAGTCTGTTGCAGCAATGGATAAGCAGAGAATAGACACATACGGAGAAAATCTACCAGCCAGGAGCTTCGATACGTGAAGAGCTTTGAGACAGAGTTAGCTAGCGTAGAAGGAACGAATGACCGGCGATTAAGCGTACCTGCAGCCTAGAATGATTGTTAGCAGTTTGACCCCGATGTACTATTATTCATGGAAGCACTTACTTTCGAAGCACCATAAGTCACCGTTCCCACGGTCCTATTTATATCTTAGTTTCCAGAACTAGCTTTCCATAGGACATATCAATAGCGTAACTCACCTCTGGTTGGCAATCCCGGCCAAGGAAGCAATCACAATCACGCTGGGGTCCGAAGACTTTCGCAGCAGCGGGAGAAATCCCACAGTGGTGAAATAGACTCCACTGATATTGACTGTCCACGTCACCCATTAGCTATTTCTGATATTCTATAGACAGAAATGCACACCATTATTGGTTGTGGTAAAGGACTCGCTTGATTTTATCAGCATTGCACCTCATCGAAGTGAAAAATGCGGAAACTTACTCGTCGACACTTTCCCACAGCCCCTTTTCAACAGCGTCGGCTATTCATCTATGAGCAAACAATGCAGCCGTAAAATACACGAGACAGGTAGCCATACGATCATTGGGATTCCAAGGAGGATAGTCCGTCTTCCCAGGCAGACCAGCATTGCTAATAAGCACATCAACCTGTGAGACATTAGTTAGCACATGCTTCTAATCTCATCGGATCCCATCATCTGCGTACATGTTCCTCCTTCTGCTTGATTTGTTCAACAAGTTGGGCACAGCCGTCTTTTGTGCTCACATCGCCCTTGATTCTAGAGACATGTGTCATCAGTTTTCATTCCAGCCTCAATGGTGATTGTAGACCAGGGAAGCGACTAACGGTATAACTTGTCCACCGAGTGTCGCCCTTCCACGTAGTTCTTCCGCAGCCTTCTCAAGGACTTCAACACGACGTCCCGTGATGTAGACTTTGGCACCATTGGTAGAAAAGCCCTCCGCGATCGCTGCAATGGACTCAAAGTTAGATCCTAGACTCCGGAATTTATGATTCTAGCTTGCCTTTGCCGAGTCCGGTGCCTCCGCCAGTGATTACGACGATCTATGTCTTTATTAGACATGGTTACTAGCATGATTGGGTTCATACGTACCTTGTCCTTGACACCGAACAGGTTGGAAAGCTGGAGAGACATGGTTTCGCGGTTGTATTGGATAGCTGTGAAGAGATTTAGGTAGCCTCGAAAGAGTCTATTGTGATTGCCTTGTTTTTATAATGACCACGATAGATGGACAGAAGTTGATTATTGAACCTTCCAGATAAGTGACGACGAGGGCGTGGTGAGCCGCGGGGTAGATAAGCGCCGGAGTTCAGCCGAAGCGTGCTCCAGCCAGTCATGGACGTGGTAGATTCTAGGGGTGACACATAAAAGTAGCCGCAACCTTGAGTGAGCTCTAATAAAACAAACACAAAAGATCCAGTAGCAGATGATTCTACGATAGTTTACTCTGGTGATAGTCCCCACATAGAGAATGAGCCTCCGCCGTACGTGATTTTTGGAAAGAGAATCAAGTCATAATTTCGTAATTTTTCATACATCGTAATGAATATCTACAAGACCATGAAAGAGACCGTAGCCAGGACAATAAGAAAGACTAAGCCCTGCCTATCAGACCCACCCATCATCGACAAACTGGCCGCCGACTCAGCAGTATGATTGGCAGACCCATTGACAGCTGTGGGTTCGTCGCCCAGCCCCAAAGGCAAACCCTGATAACTGAACGTTAGATTCTGCGGAATGGATGTGTTGTAGCACTGGCCGTTCGCAATGTCTAGATTTGTCAAGTCATCAGGATGCAAGAAGAACATGTAGTTCGACTGGTTGAGCTTCTCAAACCCAGACGTATCGTATGGGAATTTGTCTCCGGAGTCAGTGGCGCTAGTGTTCCGAAGAAAGATACATTGCACTTGGCCTGGAAAGTCGGTCGCCATTTCTGGGTAGTCACGCATGACGTCGCTGTTGCTGGTGTCCGCGATGAGGATAAACTTGCGCTGCGGAAATGTCTCAAACACCTTTTTCAGCAGAAATTTGCGGATGGACAGGGTGGCGGAGACGTCGCTAAAGTTGAGGGGACGGGTGTCGAAAGACCCGCCGGGGTAGTTGTCATAGATGAACTGCATGTAGTTTCGGGTGACTTGTTCAGGAGTCGTCGTCTGTAGTGTGGTGGTGAGTACACAGCAACAATACAATAAGGGACATTTGGTAGACTAACTAGGTAGTGAAAGTGCAGGTTGGGGAGACTGATCGACCAATTGCGATAGATGTCCGGCATATTCTCCCATGGCCGGAAGGGACGTGCGAACGAGTTGAGTAATCCTTGCTCGGGCTCATAGATTTTGGTGACTCGTAGGATGTCATCGATGTCCGAAACGACAGTGAGCCCGATCGGAGGCACAAGATAGGCTGTGCTGTTTCCAATCGTTGCGCCCTCCACGTGAACGTTGAGTCGTTGTATCGCCGAAGTTTCATTACCTGCTGTCAAGCCGTTACTGGAAATTGGGACGAAGGTGTCAAAGTCACCTTCGACCGTGGTGTTGTAGGGCAGAGTGAGGTCTTGGGTGCCGCCAGTGGTATTAGAGGATCCACCGCCGCCTGGCTGTCCGCTTGATCCCTGACTCGGTGCAGGCTCTAGGTGGATCGTGTTTACAGCGACGTCAGGTTGCTGGACGACTAATATTTCGGCTGTTAGATTCCGGGCCTGTTTCTGCTCGGATTCAGAAAGGTCGGATATGCTTGTATTGCCGAGGAATACATCAGCCAAATCATTCAGATCGGAGATGGAGGTGTTGGGCTGCTTGTAGACATTTCCGTGAAAGCGAACGTTCCAGCCCGAGTTGGTCCAGTTGGCATATGGGTCGATATTCAACACATTGGTGGGCAAGGCTGCCAACTCAGCGCTGTTCAAGCCCAAGGAGCTCACCACTGCATCTCCAGTGGGGAAACCCTGGAAGTAGTTGGGCACACCCGATGCGACCCAGGAGGGTAGGTCGGATCCCAGGCCAGAAAGGATGCTGTTAATATCAGAATCGACGTCACTCAAAATATTTCGACCAGCAACTCGTGAAGGGTGATGCTGAACCGGCGAAGGTGTGATGACGGGCTCGGGCGGAGCGACATTGTTGACGAACGCTGTGGGCGCTGGGATCGCGGCGACAACTGAAAGAAGAGCTGCCTGGAGCAAGGCCTGACAGGCAAAGCTTGACCTGCTCATTTTGATTCTCAAAGTGGTGGGGATAGACCTTTTGGCGCAGGAATCAGAGTAACATGGCTGTCTCTATTGTTAAATAACAACCAGAACACCCACCGACGTCATAGCCGTGCAGATCACTGGAACCCCAGGGCCACACAAGCGATTCATCCATTGGGTCTGGACGGCAAGACCCTGACCCGCAGTTAATTAACATATTCGTGCGACAAACCAGATTTCTGAATCAGGGACAGATCAGGGTCTTCATGCGTCATGGTCCTGGAGACGTGTCCACCACATGGAGCACTGCCGGTGCTCACCCCCGTTGCGTCATACTCAGATGGTACGCGATTTTCAATATTCCACTACTGTTCACTAGAAATAGCCGTAATTTCCATGGAGACTACCGTTATATCGTGAATAGCATACTGGCAAGATAGAATTAATCGCCTCCGTCGCGTTATTATTATATAGGTAGCTTGAAATGGCATACCTTGTCTTGTGTCAGTTTAGTCCGACAGGTTCTTAATCACAGTACCTTGCAGCAGGTGGTAATCTGCGTGATCTTCAAAACATTCGAATTCTTACCAAAATAAAATACGAAGAAAGTACATTTTAAGTCGGTTCGGATGCAGATCCGATCGATGGTTTGTCGCTCCAGTGTCCACATTGCTCTCTCCCATGGCGATCGAAAGCCGGAGTCCAGCAGCGGAGAACTATTATTGGAGAGAAGGACGAGAAAGAAAAAATTCACCCAAAAATATTGAATTAGAAAATAAAAAATAGAAAAAAGTATAACTTGACCAAAATAGAATTCTGCTGGCTTCTATAAGCGTATGTAGTCGAGAAGGACACAATTTTTCTGTGCACGTTCTGAAATCGTCTCCCTGTTAGGAGCACAACATGGGAACCTACCAATAATCTGCCCTCGCTCGATTGTTGCCTAATAGATAGATTGTGTCGCATTTATGTGATTTGCACTAACGATACTGTGTATGCTTACCTCCCAAGTCCAGGTAACCACGTTCTAGCCTCGAGCTGAGGCTGTGTCGGTTGCCGGCGGTGCCCCGATCTGCATGCATGTCAGCCACGACGGGCTGACGCTAAGTCGCTCACTTCATCCAATACTTATATCGACGGCTATCTCGTCGTCTTACCATCAATTTTATCTGGTTCAACTCACCCTTCTCCAGCGACACCAATACATTATGCCTTCTGCGGTGCAAGCCGTGGACTTCTCCTGGAGTAGCGTACTGATCTCCTCCGCCCCATTAAATTTTTCACGTACTGACCCGCTCTACTAGACTGCGCCAGGCTCAGTCCTGAACTTCGTCCCCTGCTACCAGGACTATCAGTGTGCACGTCTTGAAGTTCCTCTAGACTGGTCAGCCAGTGCCACTGAAATTACAACGGCCACCTTGGCCGTCATAAAACTGCCTGCACAGGTAGACCCTGCCGACGAGCGTTACGGTGGCTCTATAATCGTGAACCCAGGTACGGGCAAAAATGCCACTACCGCTACCATTCTGGCCCCCACCACGGTTTGCTCACTACAAATACAGGTGGTCCTGGCGGGTCCGGCGTGCAGGAAATACTTGACCGAGGGAAAGAGATCCAGCGGATCGTGAACAGCTCCGATGATACACAGCACTCTCGCTATTTCGACATTGTCTCCTTTGACCCCCGTGGCGTGGGAAATACCCTCCCTCCCTTGACGTGCTTTCCTGATCTGCTGTCTACTTACCTCTGGAGCGAGGCCGTGCAGGCCCATGGCTTGGTAGGTAGCTCCGACCATGCAGCTGATCATCTCTGGGCCCGCATGCAAGCCCTAGCCACATCGTGTACGGATCCCCATAAGGATGGTGCTGATATTGGTCCGTACATGAATACCTGGAGTACGGCACACGATCTGCATCATATTGCTCAACTGCTCCAGCCAGACCCTCACGCAGACGCAAAGCTGCAATACTGGGGTTACTCATACGGGACTCTGCTAGGTGTCACTTATGCAACTCTCTTTTCGAACCAAGTCCACCGGATGGTGTTGGATGGGGTAGTAGATGCAGTAAGCTGGTACTCCGGTGATTTGTCGACATCATTCCGGGACGCGGATCATATACTAGACAGTTTCTTCCGCTACTGTCATCAGGCAGGCCAGCCGAGATGTGCTTTTGCCAGCCCGTCCGCCAACGGAGAAGACGATGAAAACGCAATAAGCGACCTCCAACAGCGTTTCAAGAATATATTGTCTGACCTGAAAGCGTCCCCCGTTTGGACCACTCATCCAAACCCAGATATAATCACCTATTCTGACGTGAGACGTCTCCTAAAACTCGCCTTGTACGCACCGGTCGACCTTTTCCCCACTCTCGCTACCATCCTAGCAGATCTCGAACAACGAAACACAACGAGCATGGCCGGCTGGAAAAGCATGCTACGCGAGGAAATGCAGCCAACTCACTGCCTCGATCCAGAATGTCAGTCTCATGCTCCGTGTCGCGAAGCATGTCAATACTCGTATCGCGTTGAAGTGACTGCTGGTACCGTATGCTTGGACTTAAATCAGAAGCTACTGAACACCACCCGCGAGGAATACTGGGATGAGTATCTTCGGCCTTCCATTGAGAGCAGTCATTGGATGGGGGATACGTTTGCAGACTTTTTGATGCCATGTGCTAGGTGGAATGGTCGTGGACCGGGGGACTTCAAAGGTTCGTTCTAGTCTCATTGCACCTAGCTGCTCCTAAGTGCTAACCCGAAGAAGGACCTACCGGGGCTGAGGATACGTCCATACCTATACTCTTCGTCAGCAATACTCTGGACCCAGTGACTCCGCTTGGCGAGTAAGTCTCTCGCCACCCTGCTATCTGTCTGTACATTCATCTACGGCCTATTAACGATAGTATCAGCGCCCACGCCATGTCCGCTCTGTTCAAACAGTCTGTCGTATTAGAGCAGCAAGCTGAAGGTGTAAGTCCAATCCCTTCACATATGCTTTGCGACCATGTTTAGAGACGTATGTTCTGACCGCACTTCATTGTAGCATTGCTCCTTCGCTTCGCGTTCGGGGTGTACAGACAATTACATCCGCACGTATTTTCAAACTGGGGAGCTTCCAGCACCAGGCACGCGATGTGAGACAGATATACGCCCCTTTGGGGTTGAGGAGGTGTTAGATGGAATCTACCCAACGGAGCTGGAGAGGACGGAGCTATGATCTATCTACCTTGGTATATTGGTATCCGGAGTTTCCCCTGTCAGTACTAATCAATAAGCAATCACCAAAATCATTAATATTGGGTCTATGGGGAAAATGCATTGTTTCTATCCATTATGAGGAGCGGACATGGGGCATATATAATTTCTGTCAGAATAATGGATTGTGAAAACAATGCCAAAGGAATGAATATTTTCATGCTGTGATCCCGGGTAGGCGAGGTCACGTGAAGAGTGTCGGTCGCGCCCCGGCACGTCGCTCTCTTTCTGCTGCTTAGCGCTGCTGAGATGGGATATCATCTATAACCAGTTGAGACACCGGAAAAGAGCACTAGCGCCCCCGTATCCAAAAGGTGCCAGATAAGTGGTCGGTCACCGGACGCGTTCCGCCAAGTTCAACACCGTGTTCAACCACAGTTAATCATTCTCAAAACATAAAATATCTCTCGATTGTATACTAGTCCGTCGACATGGCCCCGGGAGAATACTATTCGCTGCGGCACATACCGGAACTCGTAAAATTAGCCTCTATACAACCTGCCACCCAAGCGGATTGCATTCCAACGACCTTGTCGGGCCCGATCCCAGCCGTATCTCAGCGCTTAGAAGGACGGCTCAGTTTGCGGACATGGGACTGGGAAATTCGGCATACGCTCAAGTGTCGCGGCTTGGAGCATCTTCTTCGAAGCGATCTACCTCGCCCCGACAAAGCTAACGACAGATTTGCACTCTGGCGCCATTGGTCAATCACTGTCCGAAGATGGATGAATCGCCAGCTCTCTCGCAAAATAAGAGCGAAGTTGGGGGCCTCTCGGTGTGCTAAGAAATTACGCGGATGATGCCTATAATGTCATCCGAGAGACCACGCCCTATGCAAGGCTACGTGGTTCAAGCTCATTGATATGCGGCGCTTTCACTACACTACTGTGGCGCAATACGTTACCAGTTTTCGGCGAGCATATATTGACGCGAAGGAGTTGAATTGCGGTATTAGTCCCTACACCGCACTGATTGCGATCCTTGGTGAAATCGAGTCAGATCTTCCGCATTGGGTCGCCACGGTGTTATTATTCTTGCCTGAAGATGCGGTGACCGGTTATACTGACGCTGATTATTTCAACGCCTGTCGCATGGTAATATAGCAAGATGATATGTTAAACCAAAGGAGTTTTGGGGTTGCGAAAGGGGGGTGGTTTCTTCCACTTGTGCCTTTCGAGAGAATAGTAACCCAAGATAAAAGAAAGAGAAATTGCAGAGAAACAACAGTCGATATCTGACTTGTATGGTGGTTGGGAAATTATCAAATTCCTTATCCTCAACATTGAATGAGTCAATATACTCCAACATGATCAACAATCAAGTCTTCCGTTGTTTCCGCCATTTGAATATGAAGATCAAATAGGTCGCCAACACGGCCATCGTGTAATTGAAAAGAATGAATCCAATGAAGATTCCGACGTTGTTACCCCGTTGTGAATAGCTCATGGCATATTGCTTGACCTATATTTCCAAGAGGGGGTGTTAGCAGTTCTTATGTGGACGAATGGAAATGAACAGAAATGGAGGGAATAAAAACCTACATATTGATCACCATCCGCATAGGCACAGTAGTGACACTCCTCAGTTGCGTCTGGGTTTACTAGGTAACCTGTGGAATCCCTTGAAGCGAAGAAGTCAGCTGCATACGAGGCACATGTCTCCCCGACGGGCACATGGAATGTGGTCAGTTCGGAGTCACGGCAGGTAATCTGCAGCGAATGCATGGCGTTGGTACCAATCCCCTCAATGAAATAAAACAGGGGTGAGATATTATAGAACCAGCGCCATCCACGAGGTGTCAGAGGTGGGGGTGAGAGAGGTCCATTGAAGGTATTTATCACCAGCCAGACGAAGCCAGTAGCCACCTGTGCGGCCAGCACGGTGGGGAATAACGCGGCCGTTAATTGAGCGATACTCGCGACGAACAATGAGTAGAGCTCGTACATGAGAAAAGCATAACCAGCGCGCGTTGAGATGGTGAAGTATCCGACCATGTAGTACCACAGAACCCAGTATACAAGCCCTCCCAAGAGCGTGAACGGGATCTCCACGAGAAGCGCGCTGATAGTAAAGACGCTCCAGTGGTATACACACGACTCATTCTCTCGTGCCAGGAATTGATCGCGCAGGAGGATGAAGCGAGGTTCGATCTGGAGGCTGAGCACGGGCCCGGTGATCACTCCGACGAAGATAGAAAACATGCGTCCGCGGGAGTCAGTGAGATCGTCGGACAGCTGGAGAAATGTGAGCCCGTTCATCAGCCCCATCCAGATGTTAAGCTGGAACTTGCCCAACACGTAGTCTGAGTCGCGCCAGTAATTCGTGAAAGCCCGTTGGGTGACCACTCGAATCTGCTCGAGATAGGAGGCCGCATAAGCCCGATCAGAGCCTGACGACAACAAAGTATTTCCTTCCCGTGGTTGAAGGAAGTGTTGAAGCTGCTTTTGGGTGGAGACATACTCGGGCGACTGCTGCCAAGTCTATCATGTTCGGGAGATGAGAAATGAACTGCGTAAAAGCAGGGTAATTCGTTGAGGTAGGGATGAGGAATCATACCTTGAACCAGTCTACGTCAGGCTCTCCGCTGACTTCCAGAATGTAGTCCGCTGGATTTTCCGTTTCCCGGCAGCATCGCGTATACCGAGAGAAGTAATCGATTATAGTCTGGCACTGAGATCCTAACGGACCGAAATAAATGGTTTTCCCACCTGGAATCAGCAGAAGCAAATTATCAAACTGTTCGATCATCTGCGCAGAGGGTTGATGAATCGTGCAGAGAATGGTCTGCCCGGCATCGGATAGCCTGCGCATCAGTTGCACGATGGAGAGTGCTGAATTGCCATCCAACCCGGACGTGGGCTCATCAAGAAAAAGAACAATGTCTGGCTTCGCAGCTAACTCAACCCCTATGCTGACCCGCTTGCGCTGTTCGAGGTTCAATCCTGCCCCTGGTACCCCGATGATTGCTTCGGCGATATCTTCTATTTCCAAAAGCCGGATGAGAAATTCCACGTGTTGCATCTTCTCTTCCCAGGTGACCGCTTCTGAGCGGCGCAGGCATGCGCTCAGCTGGAGTGCTTCGCGCACTGTGGACGATGCTAGATGGATATCATTCTGGTGAACGAATCCTGTACGCCGCCCCATCGACGCCGGAAGTGTCTGCCCATTCAGATAGAGTCCGCCAGATATGCGGCCAATTTGGATACGCTGAGCTAGAGTATCAAGGAGTGTAGTCTACTCGTATAGCAGGTCTGTCAGCTTGGGGTATATATGAAAGAATCGGCACGACTTACCTTGCCAGCCCCCGACATCCCCATTAACGCAGTCATCTTTCCTGGTTGAAGCCATCCTGTACCATAGAGCCTTGTAAGACTTATACTTTATAAGGACAGAGAACTACATCTTACCTGAAACTTGGTGAAACAATTTCCTTCCATCGTCAAGTTCAAGTGACAGTTCATGCCAAGCAAACACATTTTGTGTGTTGTCCAGACAGCCGATAGTAGGGATCTCATCGTTGGAGATGGGTCTGAGTTCTTTGGAGTCAGTCACATACGGTGGCTTCTCAATGTCCGTAGGACGGGTGGGTGAGGCGTTCGCCCATGATGGCAGCTTGCGGTAAAACACCGTTGCCATTTGCTCAGATGCATGACGAAATCGCTCCATTCCAATTCTAAACAATAACTAGAGTCATTATGGCTTAGTATGAATATTCTCGGGAAAAGAAACTTACGTTACAATAGTTGAAAAGAAGACGAAGAAGGCTGCATTTATGGCAACATTTCGCCACAAGTGGAAGTAGTTGAATCTATACTCGACCATCAGGTAGAGTCTTCCGGAAAGATTCAATTGGCCTGCTACCGACCCAGACACTGCACAGGCCTGAAGACTCGTTTCATTGTATGATGCCCCCCGAGGGACGATGTTCTGCAGGCTGCATGCATATAAATTGCTCCCAATCTCGTTGAGGGCGATGGACTCGAAGATATAGTACATGGGCTATACAAGTATTGAGGAGGTTAGCACATTCTGTATGGAAGTCTTACGATGACCTTCTGTTTCAACTTACATCAAGGTAGCGGATCCATGATAGCCAGACCTTCATTCCTGGAGGTGTGATATAAAACCCCGTGTAGATGATCAGCACATTGAGTAAGAGCCCAACGGGGAGAATGGCCCGAGTGATGGAATTTGTGAAGACAGCTATGGCTCGAAACATAACACTCAGTGCCATTAGGCCCATGTAGAGGCACACCAGCCATGTGAAAAAGTTCCCCGCCGTACGCTGGAAGCCAATCATCCAGTAGATGGGAAGCGAGTACAAGATGAAGATCAACTTCCAGGGTACGTCGGCGAGGATCTGACCGAGTGCGTAGGCCGCGGGTCGGTAGAATCGCAACGCCTTCTGCTTGACCAATATCGGGCGTTGGACAAAGGTATTCCCAAATTCAGCAGAAGCCTGCAACCCCATGATCAAAACGCAGAAAAAGAGGGCCGATGCACGTGTATAAAGCCCTTCTGTCACGGCTCTCTGATTCCGGAACAGAGTGCCTAGAAGCAGAGCTTGGATGATTGTCCCGGCTGCCTCAGCAATCCAGGCAGCCCGATCAGTCAAAAAGATCTGGTAATGGCGTACCGTACACTCATATACCTGACGGTACAAGGGCAGAGCGTATTTTGATGCTCTAGAATCTTTACTTGTTGCTGACTGAGGTGGCTCAACAGCCTCACGCACCGTCTGCTGGTAGAAGCTGCTTTCTCTGAACCGGGCCTCAAAATCACCGGGCTGAACGGGAACCGGCCGCTGGGGGTCTTCCCGAACTTGCCGACCTGCCAGAGGCCCTGACATAGACGCCAAAAAGTCGGAAACCGAGATCCTTGGGGAGCAGTAAAACCCAAGGGACTCAAAGTAGGCTTTTGCTGATGACGCCGGGCCATAGTAGGCGACGTGGCCATCATTCAGAACCAAGATCTTGTCAAACATTGATACTGCAACATCACTAGCTTGATATAAAGACATGGCAGTCATGCATCGACTGCGGGTGGTGTATTTGCGCATGGTAGTGAGAAAGCGGATGGCAGTTGATGAGTCCAACCCCCGAGTAGGGTTGTCAAAGCAGAACAGACTAAGGGACATGATCAGCTTCTTGTCTGTTGTGAGGAGTACTGGATGATCTACCTTGCACGCGTGCAGAGGGCCTCAGCGAGAGAGACACGACGACGCTGGCCGCCGCTGACTCCACGAAGATGGTCCGTTCCAATTCGGACTTGAGCTGCATGAGCAAGACCCATCAGCTGCAGAAGGTTTTGTAGGTCTTCTTCAATCCTGGAGGCTCTATTCGGATCAGAGTTTGAATGCCGGGCATTGAGAGCAAACCTAAGCGTGGTGCTGACAGATAAAGTTGGAAAGTGGATGTCATCCTCCCCTGTAAACGTGCATAGCCATCTTAGCTAGTGCATGATTCAATTGGGGTGTGAGAAACTCATACCAACGAAGGCCACCTGGTTGGGCCTAATTCGCCTCGCTGTCGAGGCATCCATTGAGCCATACCAGACGTCACCCTCCATTCTCAGATACTCGTCCCTCATGTTCGACAAGGCTTTCAGCACGGTGGTGCATCCACTGCCCGGGCGTCCCACAATCATCAACATTTCTCCTTCGCGGATTGTCCCAGTCAGACGCTGCAGAATGGGCCGAGATGGAATTTCCTTTCGCGAAAACCAGGTCACCGGGTTGGCGAGCGATTTTAGACGTCGTAGAGTTTCGGGAACATCGGACATCTGTTGGCGCTGGTTTCAAGTCAGTGTTATGGAATCTCTTGTCACCTTCATGTGTCGGAAACATACCCCAACTCCTGCGCCTATGACTGACAATTCCTTGAATATGATGCCACCCAATCGTTCTGATTCACTGGTAGTCTGGCGATTAAGAAAATTGGCAACCAGTTGATCGATCTCTGCATCCTGATGTGTCTCTTGACTTCCATTGTACTCATTATTTTCGCAGCCCAGTGTCTCCATGATACACGTATCAAGCTGGTAAGGTGCTTAGCTACGCTCTATAGTCATCTCTTGGGCGCGATCTTGCTAGGACTTTAAAGGAGCTCCCAAGAAGCCTTCAAGCACCGAAGCATAGGAGAATGTGCCGGATTACCAAATGGGGTAATGGTTGCTCCTTATGGTTAGATCAAGGGCCAGCTCCACTCTCAGCGGAGTTGGCCGACTTGGTGGACAGCATTGGGAAGTAGATATAAATAGCAGACACGAAGGCGTAGGAAAACGACAAAATGAAAAATCCTTATTTTTATCACTTACTCAAAAATAATCAAAAGTGTTTTCAGCAAGAACCATGTCAGGCTCCCAGGTTGATCCCGATCAGTTCACTCGTGCGGGCTGCATAACGCGGAAATACTACCGCGATGTCTATCCCACCATCGATCCATCACAGCCAGAGCTATCCCAAAAAGATAAAGTAACCATCGTCACGGGCGCAGGAAAAGGAATTGGTCGAGTGAGAACAGGCCCAACCCCTTTACAGATGCAATCACGACTGACCTCCGTGATACTCCAGGCTATTGCGCGAGCTCACGCCCAGTCCGGCGTCAAAGGGCTAGTCCTGATAACTCAGTCGGCTAAGTCGGCTGAAGAGACGAAAGCAGTCTTGCAAGCCGAATTCCCCTCTGTTGATGTGCTGGCTCTGCCCACGGACATCACCAATGAGAAGGAAATAGCGCAGACTTTCGACACTATCAGGAACCACTTTGGCATCGCTCACACTTTGATCAACAACGCCGGGGTTTTTGCCTCGATAGCGCCCGTTGCCCAATCAGACTCCAACACCTGGTGGAAGGACTTTGAGGTCAACGTACGGGGGACATACCTTGTCACCGCGGCATACCTGCGTCTGATCGCCGCAGAGAGCGCTGATTTTCAGCCCACTGTAGTCAACCTCATTTCGACGATTGGTCTGACGCCGCCTGGACTGAGCAGTTACTTTATCAGTAAACTGGCTGTGGCAAAGTTCACCGAGTTCGTCACAGCCGAGAACCCCCAGGTTGCCACCTACAGTCTCTCTCCGGGTATCGTACAAACCAGCATGACCCTGGATTCATTCAAGCCATTTGCTAAAGACACTGGTATGTTCACAAAAACATCACAACTGGCAATTCAGGAGCCCTTAGGCTAACCAGGGCAAATTTCCTTGGTCTGTAATAGCGGAACTCCCAGGTGCCGTGACCGTCTACTTGGCCGCGAAACGGCCACAATACCTTAATGGACGTCACCTATCCTCCAATTGGGATTTGGCAGAGCTTGAAGATAGGCAAACTGAGTTGTCCTCATCAGATACGCTGAAAGTGGGCCAGTTCATCTGATGGGCTCTCACTACAACCCTCTGGTGGGGAGTTACTTTCACGCAACGGCGTCGCGTTCTCGTTGTCTATAAATGAAAATAGCTGTCCCTATCATTGGTGTATCCAGATGTGATAGGCTATTATATATCTTGTAGCAGGCATTTGAAACTCAGTTATATCCGATATGTGCACATGCATATGTAACGAGGACGATAGTGGTTGTAAGGTTCAAAAATTAGTTCCCAAATGTATCTCAGGCACGTCCATCAACATATCACTGATTTCATGACAGTAACCAGACCAGGTATTAGGGTCAACAGTATCTGCAAATGACCACAAAGCATTTTCCTCGAATGCGAAGGGCAAAGATTGCTGGTTCTCTGCTTCCAATTGTTCGTCGGTCTGCACCCTCCGATAGTCGTTGCGATCACTGAACGCTGATGATTGAGAACTCAACAACTCTATGAGGGTACTAACTCTCCCTAGTAGATACCGTGTCCGTTGAGCCGCTCGGGATGCAATTGGATTATCTGTCCCCGCCCCCTCAAATATCGGAAGTGATCGCTCAACATGTTGCTGAGCAAGTGGGAACCAGTAGCATAGGGGGTAGGCCAGCATAAACCCAACAAGGGTCAGAACGGCATTCCACACGTACTGGTAGATCTCCGGACATCCATAAAGAGCATCATTATAGAGCATGCGAGTGTGTATGAGGTCTGTGACAGTTAGCGCGTGTTGTAGTGCCGTGGTAGCGTGTATGTCGGCTTGTGGGCTCCGTTGCGGAACTAAGCCGCGACTTGGGAACTGGATAAATGGTCGGTGAGCCCAGAGTATGATGTCATGGTACCGAAGCTCTAGAAGCGATTTTTGTAAGGTGAGCGCTGGGGCCTCTTGAAACGACAGTGTTGCATTCTGATCATGTTTCAGCCGACTCATGGAAGAGGTAACCTCGTCTGGTTGATAAACATTACATATAAGTGTAATGTTGGTGTAGAGGTTCGCGTCCAAAATTTGATCTCTCCATCGGTACAGGCCCTTGATTTCCCGCGACAAAAAGTGCGCATGGCGCTCGATTTGATCATATGGATCTATTGTCCCTGATGCATCACGCACATGACGCTCCAAATCCTCGGCCATCTTCCTTGCCACAACAGTGAGCGATATCGATGCCGAATGGAATCCGAGCTCTGGGGTATCCCAAGGATTCTGCGGGTTCAAAGGTGGCGTGTTGAGCATCGCATCATCTAAAGAGATAGCCATAGGCTTTCCCAGAAGTCGTGAACAATGGAAGTCGAGGTGTACCAATGTCCACCAAACATGATGACGCGTCTCAAACTCATGTGTGGTCGCACGAGTTACCAGGGGGTGCTGTAAGTCCAGCGACTGTGCGAGTCGCATCGCCACGCCAATAATATTATATGCTGCTTGGTACTCTCCGAAGTTCTGTAGAAAAGCGGCCATGAAGAGATGCCGCTGCACGTCTAGTAAAGAAGGCTCTGCATACAAATGATAGTTGCTGTTCGTCCCAAGAGCCCTTTGGAAAAAAGCAACATATAGGCTAGCTAGCGAAGGGGCTTGATGGGAATGCTCCCCTGCGTGTAATGATACTGAGCCAATTTGAATGCTTAGCAAGCGGTTCTGAAGCCCAGCATAATGGATTGATTGTAAGCAGTAGGCCATCAGCGCTTGCCGCAATGGCTCAGACTTTTGACCCGACGTGATCGTCAAGTCCTCCGGGCTAATAATCGGCATTAGAGGATGATACCGAGTCCAGAAGACATCAAACAGCGATTTTTCAAGCTTCTGTAAGCTGTCCAGCGCCAGATATGTCACATCCGACTCGGTTGTCCTCAGCAAGTTTGGCGAGGAATACTGAGCGTCTGAAGGAGCCGGGTCAATAGGCTGAGGAGATGGGCGTGCTGACATCTGCGATACCATAGAGCAGAAATTATTCATTCGAGAGATAAAGCCAGCAAATGAATCCAACTGCGGGCGCGGAGGAGCGATGGTAGCATGGTTTGTGGATAGACTCCGTTGTGAACTGGACCTTGGCCTCACTTGTTGGTTGGGGCTTTCTTGAATCGGGGTAGATGGCGGCGCAACCTGGGCTGGCCGGGGACTGCGTAGAGCAGCCGGCTGCAGTTTCCGGGTGCCAGAAGGTGGTCTTGAGTGCTGGGTCGGCTTGCTGCATTGGATCTTGTTGGCACGACACTGGCCACAGGGTAATCCACCATCGCAGCGAACCCGGTGCTGACGGCAAAAGTCGCATGCTCGGCGCACTTTCTTCCGTTTGACCAGTGGTGTTGATCGTAAAGAAACAACGTTGTAAAGCATTCCGGAGTGAGTGATAGATGAAAGTGAGGAGGGTGGAGTAGTAGGTAGTAGTGTGGATGGAGTTCGGAGAATCCAGGATCACTACTATTATTTACTCTACTCACCTTACTACTATAGTGCTAGGTAGGAGTACTAAGTGAAACCTCAGTCACCTGACTCCACCGTCCCGGAAGATCAGACCAATAGGATGCTGAGGAAGAGGTAGCCAATCAGACTAGCTGGAGTAACCTGACAGTGTGTGGACCCGACGGAGTACGAGCATGTCCATAATTGACTGATCACGAGTATCTTAGTGATAGGTTCCAGTAGTTTGTCTGGGCATCCTATCCCGTAGTCCAATTGCTTTACCCACTAGATGGGGTCTTTCGGCAGTGTATAAAGTACGATCTACCGAAAATCTTTAGATGCCACAAGTCCGAACTACAGCCATGGCTCTAAATGGCGATACTTTAAGAACCTACACTGCTGCAGTAACAGTTTATCTTTAGTATCCGAGTATAAATGGACCCCCAATCCCTTCTAATCGTTTCAAACCTCTGATCACATCGATATGAGGTCTGGTCTTGGGACTTGCCGTCTTTGAGTACAAAGAGGCCTTTTAGCTCGACCTCCCTTCATGCATCTTTTTAGAAGCTTGCTGTGCCTGGCTACTATCGTGATATGGGCTAAATACATGCCTGATGCACCATATAGTTTGCATGGACTAAGCCAGGAGATGATAGTCCTTGGGCTTGGGAGATGAATAGCCACTCGAAAGAGCGGCAGGGTCTTCGGCATCATGGCTAGCAGTGCCTATATGTTAAATTTGGGCAAAGTCTGGTGGATACTACACCGAAAGAAGGGCAGTGCTACTATTGCAACGTTGCCTACTTTCAAGCACCAATTCGTCGATCCGAGAAAGGCTATTGGCGGTAAGGCTCGCGCTATGAGTTTGGAGGCATACCCCCATCTCATATGTACGACGAAGCATCATATCTGTACAATATGCAGACTTACTAACCCAATGACAACTCAGAATCAGATCTTCGTGACGTACGACACGTGTCGCGCTCGCATTATGCAGCATAGGCTGACTCAAAGGGCTCTAATACGTTTGATGGGTGAGACCAGTCCTTTTCCAATGGCTGATCAGTCAGATAGTCCGTATATGTGGATTTGCGACACGTCACCTTGTTGATAATAGGCGCGTGCCATCCATAATATTGACTGAGATTTAACTAATGTCTACCCCACTAGCAATGTCAGTTGAATATTCAGATTCTAAAATGGATACCAATATACAAGCAATCCCTGGACTAGAGAAAGCTTTTGCTGTGAGGCCGGCCTCTGACGATAACGATGTGAGATCATCGCAATCTAAGCGCTCAATCGCGGTCACTCTAACCAAGCCTTCCTTTTATAGGACATCTTCACTAATGTAAATCCTCTATGGTGTCCGCTCGGACTGAATGCCGTATTTGGGGGCGTCCTCATGTCTCAAGCCCTTAACGCGGTAATGCAGCGAGCGTCACCTTCCTTTGTCGTCCACAGCATGCATTGCCATTTCCTCAAGGCCACCCGGGTTGGGACCCCTGTTTTTTATCATGTGAGCCGAGTGAGTCAGGGCAAAGCATCCAGTGTGTACACTATAACTGCAAGGCAAAATAATCACGATGTTTTCATCGCAACCGTGAGCTTTAGACGGGCTTCAGCTCCAGTTGGGAATGTCTTGAAACATGCAGTTCCAAAGCCTGAATTAGTGTTTGATGACGAGACGCAACCCCATCGCTATGGTGAAGGCACTGCGAGATCTCTATTTGAGTTTAGAATGGCAACGGCTACCATCGGTAAGCCCGAGAAACGATAGATATTTGACTTAGTGCTAATTTGTATAATCAGAAAAAGGTGACTTCAATCCCGAGACGAAGTACTTCAGACGCATTGTTCGCGCACAAAGTAGCTTGGCTAAACCAAGTGGCAGCAACGAGCATTTGCTTGCCCTGGTATGTATGACAGATACGTATACTGCTGGAACGGTCGGGAGAGCCCACGGTATACCAGTATATACTAGGTTCAACGCCGGTTTGAAGGACGGAAATCCTCGAGCACAGGTGGCCTTCAAGGCACTGTCTACCGTAGCCCATACCCTTCACTTTCACAACGTGGATCATATCTGCGTCAACCACTGGATGACAGAAGAGCTGCATTGCCCTTGGGCTGGACACGAACGTGGCCTGGCAATATCACGCGTATGGTCATCAGATGGAGTCTTACTTGCAACTTGCTCTCAAGAGGTGAGCAATGAGCTGTTTTACTAGTCGCGGTGTTCATTTTTCCCACTTTCAACTAACTTAGAGGTGCAGGTTCTAGTTCGACTCCCTCAGGACAATATCCCAGCAAGGCTGTAATAAGCATACCTCAATGTCCACTTAATTTGTACATTTTCATGCAAACTATCCCTGGCCGATAAAAATTTGTCTCTTTACGTGCCTCCAGCACGTTCAGGTGGCCACCATAACAATAATAGTGGCGGTGCGGCTAACTTGACGACCGGCAGCACGATCGTTATCGACACATGCTGGTTGAAGATCACCGTTATTTGTGTTCCTGTAAACAGCTTTGCATCCTGGTAATTATATTTGCATGTAATGCGTTGAACAAATATCTGCGAATCTCTTGTCGAGAACTAAGGGGGGAGTGGTATCCCAGCATGACCTGCACCCCAGCTAAGAAAAGAAAAGATGTCAATACTGCGCTACTTGAGCATAGCTACCAAGTTCCCAAATGGTTCCCTTCGGCCAATGGTGCTTCGATCCCTCCAACGGTGCTCTCATCAGGGCTTTTCGGGTTGAATCTGACAGTCTGAATATCTCTGGAAAAGGCGGATATTAAGATATTGTACACTGCAGTAAATGTCCTTCTAGTATACTACATGATACTATTGTACTTGCACTACTCCATCAGCATATGTTCATCTTCATTCAAGTCATTGATTGATTGCAGGCCCCGACTGCGCAGCAATTCTATATGAAAAACATCGTTTATCTCTTGACACTGTTTCTCGCCACAAGAGTTGCCAGTATGCTTTGAATAAGCTCCCTCTACAGAAAACTATATTGCTCAATGAAGCCGGAAAGCACCAACCATGCCGAACAGGGAGATCAACATCATTAGTTGAAAGGCTAATCCAGAACAACATCTAATTGGACCTCACGCCCAGCTTCAATGTCTTAGACAGACCTTAGTGCCATTCCGAGAGCACAGAGTCAAGGTGAGTGCTTCCTCCCACGGGCCAGGATCCCTGGTCTCCAGAGTTGAGAACTGCTGTGCCAGACGGACAGTAACATATGCGGCTTCGGTCAAGGCATATTGTTGGCCGATGCAGATCCGAGGACCACCGTTAAACGGCAAGTATTCCCATCCTGGGCGCAGATCTGCCCAGCGCTCCGGACGAAACTCATTTGCGTCAGGTCCATATAGATCTTGGCGACGATGCATTGCCCACACGCTGTAGAACACGATAGTACCCTTGCGCACGAAAACGGGGGATTTCCCGTTGGGACCGCTACCGACTGGCAGCACAGTATTACTCAGTGCTTTACGAGAATTTACTGGGACGACTGGGTGAAAACGAAGCGCTATACACAGAAAGTTAAATGAATGATGAACCCTGCTAGTTGATGGCAATGCATGCGCTGGAACTTACACTCATTCAGACAGTGTTTAAGGTATGTCAAATTCCGAAGCTGCTGGTATGTGGGTGCGCGACCGTTGAGAGTCGCGACCTCCTCACGCAGCTTCTTCCAGATTTTCGGGCGCCGCACAAGCATAAAGAACAAATTGCTCAGTAGTGATGCGGTGGTATCACGGCCGGCAAGGAGAATGTTCATGAGTTCATCACGGATGCGGTCGCGGTCACCTGTCTGTTCAGCCAAACCCTGTAAGAACAAATAGCGGGTATGCCTTCCCTCATCGTTCGAGCCCTTCTTGGCATATTCTTCACGGTACTTGAGCGCCTTATCGATGAACTGCTCCACCAGGCTATGACAGATACGGTTGGATTGCGTCGCTTTGTGGTCGGGAATAACCCGCCCCAAGAAACCGAGACGGGTGTTTCTAGCAATAGCATGTTGGGCATAGTTAAAAGCTGAAGCAAAATCACTGTCATCTGGTACCACACCAGACAGACGCTGATTCAGGCTTTGGACACTGTGGCCGAAGAGAAACTCGGTGGCGGAATCGAGGGTGTAGCAGAAGAAGAGGTCTTGCAGGTCCACAGTCGAGCCATCTGTAGGGATCAACGCCAACAGACCTTGCATCAACTCCTCAAGCTTCTCTAAATCCGCGATCTGGTCCTTGACGAAATTGGGGCGCACCATGGCGCGGGATTGAGCCCAGTGCTCGCCATCGGAGGTAAAGATTCCACGGCCCAATAGCGGACCGAAGGTTGCGATACGACTTCCCAAACCATAATCTCTAAAATTAAGGGATAAGACACCTTTTAGATTCGCCGGCTCACAGGTTATAATAAAGGGGGTTGTGAATCGCTTTACACGGAATGTATTTCCGTACCGTTGGAACCGGTGTTGGATAAGTTCGAGGAAACGGTGGGATTTCGCTGCTTGGATGTTCTCCAGAAGCACATCGATGCCGAAAAGAGGATCTTTCGAGGCTGGCAATACAGGCTCACAACCATGTACCTTAGCAAACTGTGACTGTATCCATATACATCGCAAATTTTTGATCAAGCAGAAGAAGAAAACAACAGCAGCTCCGACAGCTATTGTCAAGATATGGGTGTTGTTGCTCTCCATCATTTTATCGGCTTGATAGTCGATCGCAAAGGCGCTGACAATTATTATATCAAACCTGGTCGGACCGCAAAGCCGCAAGGGGTGAATAAAGGGGAGAGCTGAGACAAGCATGCACACGTGAGAACAGTAATCAAGGGTTCTGGCAGAAGGCAAAACTTGGAACCTCCTTGCAGGAGAGCTTATTACTGATAAAGTGCATTCTCAGTCAGACCTGACCACCGTATTAGTGCTGTACATTCGTATTCGGTCCTAATCTTTAGAGTTGGAGAACTAAAACGAACATTTATCACCGGAATTTTAGACGACATTATCTACCGCTATCAGTAACCCTAGTCATTCATATATGGAATGGACAATAGTGCATTGATTCAAGTTCTCGGTTATGTTGAGCTAACCCTCACTCCAAGGGATCAATCACCGTCGCGCATTCATCCCTTGTTGAACTATCTTCGCGACGCGTAGGTTATATAACACCAGCAAACAATACCCTAGCATCGAGGCTATCCTGACTACCGCTTCTCTAATTTTCATCTCCTTGCCTTTGCATGCAGCGTTTTCTGCAATTGCGGCTACTTGCATATGTACTACAAGGCTATCACTGCACAAATAGTATATTCACGATATATCACTACTCACTTTTCAAGCAGAAGTTGGATGTTATCACTGACTAGTCTGTGGTTATACTTGGATGTTCGAAGTTGGAATGTATGTACCACCTTGGTATGTGAAAAATACAAATTCAGGATAAATAAATAGATAATCAAAGTATTGATAAATTTATTGCAGACTTCATCCTCATTGAGAGATATTGGCTAAGAGACTGTACTAGTTATAGAATAAGGACTATACCTGAACATAATAGGGGCCATCATACAACCAAATTGGCTTTCGTGACTTAAATCGCTTGCAATAGAAAATATTATATCTCTCCTCCTACTCACATGGCCGTTCAATACACTCTCGACTCCCTATTATGCACGGGACAGCCCTCCCCCTAAGTTGATAATACCGAATTGACATGGCTATATATCAGCTATCGACCACAAATGTAGTTTTAAGCCCACTCCTACATGTCATGCAGGTTTGACGTTCATGCTACTTGGCAAACACATAGTCGCAATAGGTGACGAGACAATTATTGATGATGGCTTGAGATTGTATGGAAACCAAATCAATCAATCATAAGCCAAGCCAGTTGTGCCATAATTTTCGAAAGCGACCCATTTTTCCCCGATGAAACTTTATCATTATAGATTGCAGATAGCTTTGCATGGGAAGAGGAAGTACTGTCATGTGTAAGCGTGCTGACGCGGGTGGGTCGGAAGGAATGGAGAGAGCCATTGGATCCCTCGTAGCGTACTCACTAGCTTCCAGCAGGATAGACTAACATCACCGGCATAATCTGGATTATTAACAATGCTCTCTTGCTTAGTTCATTATTAGAAATCAGATTATGTGCAGTGATTGTGATATATAAAGTATACAGCTGAATAGTTACTGTGGCCTGGAATGAACAACAATTACAAGCAAACTCAATCATTCATTCAAACACCATGTCTCAATCCAATCCTTCAATCGTGATCGTCCCAGGAGCCTGCGCCCTACCTGAACTCTACGATCCGGTGACTACAAGAATCGCAAGCCAGGGCTACGAAATCCACACAGTTAGGCTACCCAGCGTGGGCCCCAGCGATGGTCCCCTCCCGGAGCCCGGCACCATGTATGACGATGCGGCAGCGATTGCGCGTGAGATTGAACGGCTAGTGGAACAAGGAAAGGAGGTCGTTGTGATCGCGCACTCGTATGGCGGGACGCCCGCCAGCCAGAGCATACAGGGTCTGATCAAGAGGGAGGGCAGCAAGGATGCTGGTGGGGTGGTACGCCTGGCGTATATGACGGCGGTGGTGCCTCCCGAGGGCAGGTCGACCGCGGACGTATTGGGTAGTCTTCCTATGGACATCTCCGTCGATGATCAAGGATGGATGAGTCTCGTCGACACCGCGGCCTTCGCAGCCACAGCCTTCTCCGATATGCCCCCCGACGAGGGCAAGACATGGGCTCGACAGTTCACACACCATTCAGCAGCCAGCTTGGCTAATACCTTGACGTATGCAGGGTACAAGAACGTCCCTGTCGCGTATCTGCTGTGCACTGACGACTTGGTTATTTCGCCAGACGTGCAGCAGAAGATGATTGATACGGTTGCAAGTGAGAGTGGGCGGGAGGCGGACGTGACAAGAATTCCCACTGGCCATGTTCCTGTTGCAAGTGCTCCGGAACTCGTGGTGGATTGGATTCTGAAGATTGTAGGCTGGGAGGAGAAGTGAGACAGCCGTTGGGGAAGAGCACAGTGTTGGTTAGGCACATGGAAACATATAATTCTATGGCGCTCAACCACCGAGAAAAGGGGCCGACATCGGTTCCTAACAGTCCATATACTGAATTTAAGCATGCAAAAGGAATCGAGGTGTCTCCCAAGTGACCATAGTTATTTCTCCTCACAGAGTGATATTCTCAATTCTAAATTTCCAGTGCCATAATGGCGTCGTACGTGACCTACCTCAGCAAGGGCTCGGTGTACGAACGGCACAGGAACAACAGCAGCCTGACTCATTGTATAGTAATAACTTCGAGAGCCCTCCATAAGAGGGAATTCCCGCAGGCATTCCAGAAGCCCCTCGACTTCCTGAAAAGTCACAGAACAGCCGAAACTACTGGACTGGGCCTCAGACATTTCCAGGTGACCATGGGACTTAATCGCATCGCCATAGTCGATGATGATCATGTTATGGAGTTTATGGGGCCAAAATATCCGGCATGTAAAGGGACATTTGTGCGGGAATCAACCCTCCAGTTTGTGATTCGACTTTCCGGGGCAGATGCGACATCAGCGTGCTGTTGCCGATCTGGTCATCAATCTTAGCAGGCCCTGGAAGTTGGTCTAGTGAATCTTATGGCGCGCTCACACTTGCGCGTGTTAATTGGCGCTGGATGGTAAAGGCATCGATGTGCAGATCCACACGAAAGCACGTAGGATGTGCATGATCACAACGAACCTTGTCTTTGCGATAAGGCTCACAGGATGCGACTTTCCCATTGTGTTGTCACGAAGACCTATACAAGCATTCTGCACAACCATTTGCACTCTCCAGGCTGCAGGCGTTCAGTTGGTCAAGTGGTCAGTTTGTCGTGGGGGAGGGAGGCTTTGCTGATGAACATGTGATCCCGATCCATGTTCGCTTTGTAATTGTTTAGTCAGCCACATGATAGAGACAGTTAAGTTAGGTTAACTAACTCTTAACGAACTAGTTACATAGTAACTAAATCATCATGTTCTAGCAGCTTAGTAGTGACCTGTGGAAGCTCACCTCTGAACTGGCCCAGTACTACTTCTGTACCCGTGCCAGATTGTTGTGGCTCACCTTACTTCAGAATTACGTTCCACTTGATGGAACCCGACAGTGGAACCCTGACGGGGCGATGACGGCACGATGCCCTGGCTCCCCCGGAACCTGATCGGAAGCTATCCGCATGCAGAGCAGTGAGGGCGCCTGCCCCCGTCGAAGGTGATCAAGGCATCTTGATTATCGCATTGTTCTATCGAAGGGTACCAAGACGCCATGGCAGATGCTTCAAATTCTACAAGCATCTTTACCCTTCAAGGCGCCGGCGCCAGTAGTGTACGATACGCTCCCCGCCGGAGATGCGGAAACTCAGAGCTAATCCCACTACTTATTCACCCTAGGTCCTTGGATCCAATCCAACTCAAGAAGACAGGTATACCGTCCTCCTGCCTGACGAATTTTCGGGGCACACGGACAGTCTGGCTTTCTTTGCCGTATATGACGGACAGTATGGGAATCACATCATGACTCTGGCAAGGTAGTCGGGACTGACTTAGGGAAAAGTGCCTCAGATAAGGTTGCAGAACATGCAAGCAAGAATATCCGTCGGCTTCTGACTATCAGTAGAGAGTTGAGGCAGGGGAACTATGAATCAGCCATCGAACAAGCAATTCAAGCAGAGGAGAAGGAGCTTCTGCAAGGGTTTTGGGCTGGCGAGGAATTATTCGCCGTAGCCGGATCGACTGCCGCCCTAGTTGTCGTGAATCTAACCAGGGGTATCTTAGTTGTCGCTAATCTGGGAGATTCGCACGTTTTGCTGGGAGAGGCTGATGGGGCAAATCACACCTCGTTGAAGGTCGTATGTAGAAGTCATAGGCCTGTTTATCGTACTAGCGTCCTCTAACTGTTATGAAGGAGCGATTAACCACATCCCACAAGCCGGAAGATGCTGGGGAGAGTCATCGCATTGAGTCCGCTGGAGGGACTCTCAACACCGAGAGCGGTGTGTCACGAGTTGGTTAGTTTATCTTCGTCCCATATCACACGAGGTTGCGAACCTAACTTCCGCAGGGGGCTTGAATGTATCGAGGGCGCTGGGCGATTTACAATATAAAATGCCGCTAAAGGATATCGGGGAGCAGTCCCTGGCCAGCGGCCAGGAGAAAGCATGCGTCGAACCAACAAAGAGGGGAGATTTAATCTCCAGTTACCCTTCTCTTAAACGATACACTCTGCAGCCGGATCGTTGGTACTTTTTGGCCCTGACCACAGACGGGGTTACCAATACAATGGATGACGAAACCATCATGCACCAGATCGCAGGGAGCAAGCAAGAGGGAATGGATGCTGACAGGGTAGCCGCGAAGATCACCGAGAAAGCTTCAAAGGCACCTAGTAGTGACAATGCCACCTGCGTCACTGTGTTCCTGGATGGGCATAATGTACGAAATCAAGAGTAAATAGTAGGCAAGGCTGGGATTCGCATATTTACTCTCCACTCCCATGTCGATCTAATTGGGTATTCCGGGATATCTTGGCATTCCCGTTGACGCCCCCAGATCCAACGAGTCGTAGATCACTGCAGCCACAGCACGTAGGATTCTGCAAATCTCATAGTTACTAAATTGTGCTACGTTGCAGGCTCGTTCCTTCTATGGGATGACGGTAGGACCCACAATTACAAAAGTACCGAAGGTCATCGACTTTGGCTGTCGCATGTGGCTGGATGCGGCTAGAATGTCAGGGTCCATGGTTCGGATCAATGACCTCAGCGGATCAAGCCAATCATGGAAGCAAAATCATCTTTATCTCGATCGAGCAATCATAGCAAAATATTGCATCACGGAGTCTCAGAACGCGTTCGTCAATCAGGATATTCCTATTGGGGAGTTCGCACAGTACTACTTAAATAGCCGCCCAGCTTGCAGATGAACACTGAATGCCTCCGTTGTTTGAACTCGCTACATATAGACTATCCCATAGACTTTGCTGCTCGTTTAGCTCTGCAAGATCAAGATGTTCGAAAGTGTCGTGTCACCACCCCAGGTCCGTGGTCGAGTACCTCGGGTTCAGACAGTCGCAAGACCGGCCGTTGCGACCAATATCATCGATATCCGCAGTGATAAAGCAGAGACACAGCTACGTCATTCGCTCGAAGACTCCATCCATGCGGCCTGTCACGGGGAGTCTGCCATGCCGGAGCTTCTCCTCTGGGATGAAAAGGGACTACGCTATTTTGAAGACGTGACATATGCTCCATCCTACTACCTCACCAATGAAGAGATCGGCTTGCTCGAGAAGCATAAATACCAGATCGCAGAACACATTCCGTCTGGTAGTATGTTGGTCGAGCTAGGCAGCGGGTAAGCGTCCAAACCTTTCACCTGCAGAGGCAACTGTGCTGATTGAACAATCAGAAATCTCCGCAAGGTCAAGATCCTTCTAGATGCTCTGGATGAAATGGGTCGGGAAGTTGACTACTTCGCGTTGGATGTATCGTATCAAGAACTCCACCGGACTCTCAGCATCGTGCCCCCGGGGACATTCCGCCATGTCCGCTGCTTCGGGTTGCTGGGAACCTACGACGATGGTCGGGACTGGATGCATTTGCCCGAAATCCGTTCGCGATCCAAGACCATTCTCTCCTTGGGATCAACACTGGGCAGTTTCCAGCGGCCAGAAGCAGCCGACTTTTTGGCTAGCTTCGTCACCCCCGAAAGTAACTCGTCACTGCTCATTGGCTTGGACGGATGCAAAGACGCCGATCGCGTGCTGGCAGCTTATAACGATCCCGAGGGGATCAATCGGCGATTCATCAAGCACGGCCTTGAACGCGCCAATGAGATCCTAGGGCCGGATACCTTTGATCTCGACAAATGGGCTGTCATTGGCCGCTGGGATGCAGCGCAGGGAAGCCATAACCAGTACTATCTCCCTTCAGAAGATGTGTCTCTGGCAGGCAAGACCATTCCGGCGGGCCGGAGGATATTGGCAGTCAAGAGCCACAAGTACGATGCTGATGACAGGGATGCGTTGTGCCGGAGGGCAGAATTGGCTGTTGGTGATGCATGGGCATCCAAGAACCAATACAGTAAGTTTATCCCCATTAGCTCCTTTTTCAAATGCAACATTCAGAATGGGTTTCTCTTGTGTGTACACAGCTAATCCGCTCACAGATTTACTGTATCTTGAGAAACCATAGGGTGTCACTCATGAGCCGGAAGCATGCAGATAACCAAATAGTTTAGATATGGCTTCGGGGATCAGATATAACCTCCCAGTCACTGCTCTAATTACCTCATAATATCATAATATACGAGTGTTGTATCATCCAGGAAAATGAGTGAGAAGACTGCAGGCTGAACACTGCGGGTCACACTACTTGAGTCATGTGAGGAGCATCATTCACACTTGGGACTACACCGAGGCACAGCTTACCCAAATGGTATCTGTATCCAGTGAATGTATTGTAGTGAAAGGGATCATCACCCTGAGTAGTCGGCTTTATCTCTAGGGTTCCCTGCCATCCAGCAATCACCATCAACATGTACTGTCTATCCCTGCATTGACAATTAAAAACTATACACGCGACTATGTTCTTGATCTCTATACTATACTATTTACCGCGTTCGTATCCATATCCATGTCCCATCCAAATCAACTATATTATTGTATACCATATACCATCCAGCCATAAACGAATAGGCAAACAAGCAGTCACCTAGACTTACAACTCCTTCTTCAAGAAGTGTTCCGGCTTATGCGTCGTCTCATAATCCACGTGTACATACGCCCGCTCCACATCCGGCAACGACTCCAGTTTCATTTGCAGTTCTTCTGCGACATCATGTGTAGCCCGCAGCGAATCGTTCGGGTCCATGACGATGTCAACTTCCACAAGCAATCGAGGGCCGGAGGTGTATGCACGGACGGTATCGATGGCGGTGATGAGGGGGGAGTGGGTCATTGCTTTTTATACATCATTAATTTTGCTCACCTACAAACGAAATGGGATGGAGGTAAGGGAGGAATATAAGCTCACAGATATAAGTAATCAACTGTTGCATTTTAGTATCGGCGGTAACACCGATAAGCAACTGGAACTCGCGATACGCGCTAAACAGCCACAAGCAACTGACAAGCACGGAGAGGACAATAGCTCCCGCGGGGTCAATCCACCAGCGCAATTTACCACCACCTACGCTGGTAAGGATACCAAATCCGTTAATCAGGAGGTCATTGCGGTGGTCTTCCCAGAGGATCATGACCTGGGAATACTGATCCTTTAGCGCGAAGCAGTACAGGAAGAGCGCGAATTTAGTGCAAAAGGCGACGATGACGGCGACAACAGAAGGGAGGTGGAAAGATCCCGTCTCGGAGTTGGATCCCTCGGCGAGTTCGCGGATAGAGAAAGCAATGAGGATGAAAGAGACGGCTGTCATGAGGAAACAGAAGCAGATGTTGCCGGCTGTTTCAATGCGAGCTTTTCCGGCGGGGAATTTACGAGGATCGACGCGGTTGACAGCCTTGTTGGAGACGAGGAGAGTTATGTTGGAGAGAGGGTCGAAGACGGCGTCGGCCATTGTTGTGTACAGGGAGAGGGAGCTGGAGGAAATGGCTCCGTAGAGTTGCAGAACACAGAGGATGACATTGGCGGCGAAGGAGCCCCAGACGGCGATTTTGTACTTGAGCTGGTTGCTGCTGTTTGTTTCACGGGCATCGCGAACGTGTTCTTCGACGGGCTTGAGCATGCGTTGAATGTTCTCATTCTGGGACTCGTAGAAGGTTTGCAGTTGTTTAGAGGCTAGGGAGGAAGCGAGTGCATTGCGGGGATTGGCGCTGTGGGGGAGGCAGCCCGAGGTGTGACGCTTGCGGGAAATGTTGGCTTGGGGTTGCATCCGGGCGATTTCTTCGGGACTTTTCAGTTTTGAGGCTAGTTGGAAGGGGTCATTCTCGCGGGTGTAACGCGGAGGTGGGCTAGACTCCTCGTCGGACGTGCTGAGGTGAGACTCCAGGGCCGTAGTGGTGGCAGCATTGTAGGAGATGGACGAGGGGAGGTGGTGAAGAGGGATAGTCTGAGGAGGATCGGTCATTTTGATGATGATGATGACGATGATTAGATGAGGATTGAGGGACAATGGAGATGGAGATGGCGGCGGATTAGAGGGAAATCAGCGAGAAGCGATGAAAGGGCTCAGGGTGCGGAGATCAGATTTGATTGATATGCCTGTTCGGGTTAGACCGGGGCGGCTTATGTCATGGCTTACTTATCACATCCCTACCGATTACGTTATAGTTAGAATGGTTTCTGGGGATATGTGAGTTACTTGCATTTATAACGGTAAGACTCGTATGCAGATAGAGTTTGATAGGCTGATGACTGCGTGATTGCATGGATCAAAGCATTAGTCGCCTGCAGTGATGTCCTAGCGAAACATCCACCAAAGAGGCTTCCGCAGCATTTACACACACTCTGAAACATGGCGAGAAGAAATTTTGAATAGACGCTCAAGTTAGTATAATTGAGTATTTCCACAGTCATTGAGTCTCTCACAGGCGCACTGCAGGCAAAGACTATACTACACGACAAGAAATAAAGTACATCAACAGACATATAATGGCCAATAACTAGTATCAATAGTACAACAAAACTCATGACAGCACAGTGATGTTGCTTGACAGAGTCGTACATTTGTACGGAAGATCCAATGACGGACGCCCAGCACCAGTCAGCGGCGACGTGCTGTAGTTGTAGGTTGGGCTGAGCATCATAATCTGGCCCACAGTGGTGTTGTACTTGTCTGCATAGTCCTTGTACACACCATACTCCAACGTGAACGGCCGAATCACGCACTCACTTGGAGAACACAGTGGCACCTTGAGGTATTGACCCGGAGCAAGCACCTCATCAGCCGAGAAGCTGGTATCGTCACTCATGAGCGACTCAGTCGTGATGTTCAGTCGTTTCGCGACAATGTCGAGGGTATCCCCGTTGACGGTATAGTATAGACGCGGACCGCCGTCGATGCAAGTACGGGTGCGGGTGATGTTGGGGAGAAGGCAGGTCTCATTATCGGGCTCGCAGACCTCAGCGGGGATGATCAAAGTCTGGCCGACGTTGGGGATGATCGTCACGTCGGCCATAAGGTTTTGACGGCCGATGTCGCAGACGCCCCGGTTAGTGGCCTTGGCAACATCGAAGACTGTGGTATTTTCCACGGTAATAGGGTATAATCCCACAGTGGTGTTGAGGGCGGTGGTATTGCAGGCTGCCAAAGTCGCGAAGGTTGAAGGCAGTAAGGACAGGAGGGCTGCACTGGCCATGATGGCCTGCGAAGAAAGAGACCACATTTTGTTTGTAATAACCAGAAGCAGAGAGGGTACCCGGGAGATATACTAGAAAAGATTGTAGAGGGAAAAAAGTGTACTGTGACTTCTGATGTTAAACCAGGAGATTCAACTCGGGTCGCGCACTGGCTTTATATACTCCCAGCCCGCATGTGGCCGGTCCGAGAATTCAATATGTTTCTGTACAATAGCAATCCGTCCTGAGATACCGCGCAGGCTATCAGTGGAGGAGTACGTACCATCGGTGAGGGCATTGTTGGTTCTGTCCCCGCAGGCTGAGCCTGAAAGCATGGGGGGGCCGGCCTCGTCCTGCAGCACCCGCAATTGTGAATATGTACCCACAGCCTTAGAGATTGCATGCCTGCGACTGGACGATGCAGCAGACCCTCCGCAGCCCCGTGAATAGAATCTTGTTCATTTGGCTAAACTATGTTGCAGGAGCGCTGGCTAAGCCCATTGTAGCTATTTCGCCCGAGGAGGGTTTTTCGGCGATGGGTCCTACTGACCCGCTCCGAACTTGACCCGCCCTAAGAGCAGCCAAACAAGTGGATGGGAGTGTCCATCGCAATATTTCTGTCGAAGTTCGGATTGGATGGCTAAAAGTTGGAGTCGGCAAAAAGGGTTCAGTTCATGAAGAGTAGTAATTGCCGACTTGATGAGATATCATACGCAGTAACTAGATAGATTACAGATATAAGCCATTCGGGTTTGCACAGACCCTGCGAGGTGGAGCCTTTCCCCGTAGCACGGAGATAATATTGCTAGTAATCAGTCATCCTGCCCTGCTGCCCTCATTGTCCTCCCTCTTCTTCTCGCCTTCCGCCTCCCGACCTCCTTCTCCCGTCTTTCATCTTACTTTCTTCTTACTTGAAAATCGGACTAGCGGTGATGATCATGCGGAGAATAAAACCTTCATCTCAACGGATTGAGCAAATTCCACCCAAGACCCTCCGCATCTTTGCCTGGGACGCGTCATGGTATGCATCCGAATCCCAGCTCTGATCATGTCGCTGCAGGAACCCTGCTAGTTAATTGGCTCTTTCTGATCTACTACTCCGAGTCTAGTGCTTTGGCCGGGGAAATGCTTCCCCTCACATTCCTGGCTCCTACGCTCATGTCTGTACGTATCCCTCTTTCTTAGCGGATCCACCATGGCAGCTCGGTTTTCAAGGCCAATGCTAGCTTCGTAATTTCTTTGCAGGCCTCCGGTCGCCCGAACGCCGACTGGGCTGGAATTGGTGAGACATGTGTAATGAGACCGAGTCTACGAAGAAAAGGTAGGTAACAAAAAGGGAAGTCAATAACTTCGATAACTTTCGTGGATCACAGAGAGTTTCTTCTTTGCATCCACGCTTGCGCAATCGCATCTCAAGATAGGACCTCGGAGCGGATGGGTAATATGCTTCGACTTCCGATCTAACTAGTAGTATCCGTCGATGATACATCCCCGGCAAAACTCGGCCACCTTTGGCCTGCCAAACGCATTCCATCCCGCTTAAATTCTTCCTGTTTTATGCACGGAGTCTTGGCCAGCGGAGTGGTATTGATGCCCGGGTTATAGCGGGTAATGTCATATCCTTGGGAGGGGTGAGCTCTTCTAGACTCCACTGCCTAGTACACATAGAGAATGGTCTCCCGGTGTTTATTAGAGCTAGGCTGGGATAGCACATCAGTAGTTATCTTGATCCATATTGACTCCAGACCAGGTACCTTATGCGTCCAATTGTTAGGCAATCAATCCAGGATTTACCCCGCAGCCAGTTTACAATGTGCAGCAGCGAACAGAAGAGCCGAACAATCACATCTGAGAAGAGGGCACTCAAGCTTCTAACCCCATGCTTGGTTATTTAGCTTCACTCGGGGATCGCATCTTTCCCAAAACGTTCAGGTTGAATAGACGCGCCTGATACTTTCCCCTTCTCTGATTCAAACAGTTTGCTGGCGTCTTCGGTCATCTTCTCGGCGATAGTTGAGGGATTGATCGCGTGTGGCTCTGCTGGGCGTCGCGTAGTCCGACTCATGGGCGGCGATGGCGGTGGGGCCTAGCTGGAGGATTCCAAGTCCGACACTGATGATTATTGAGCTTGCTAGCCGGTGGCGTTGGCGTAAAGCTAACTAGGACTCCTTACGCATCTTTCACTCTGCCAGTACTCTGGGCCTGAGGGTGAACCAGCCGTCAGTTGTTTGTTTGTTCCAAGTTTTTTCTCCCCCTTTGAATCCGCCACGTCGGCGGTCTTTCGCAACTGTCACGTGGTCGCCTGTACGTTCAACCGCGTCAACCGCCATTTGTCTATCTAGTATCTACAGCAAGTTTACTCATCTCGTACGAAGTCTCATTTGCGAAGACGTATCTACAGCGTTTCTCTGTTGTTTATCGTCCCTTATAGTCCTGTAAGCTTATATTGTGAGGCGTCTGCCAATCGGCTAGTATCGTATCTCAAAACCCATGCAGTCCGGCTCCGCTCGGCCGGATTCAGTAGGCAAAAGCTACTATCCCTTCCCTTGACTCGCTTAGTTCTGCCTCCCTAATGGTTGATTCAGGAAGGTCATCACAGAGCCTCTTTGACTTGGCAGTTATGCACGGCCGAGTCGAGATCAAGCAGGCCTTGGATGATATCTATCTTCATCGAGCAGTGACTGCTGCTCCCAGCTTTCCTTGATCCACTCCGTGGTAACTATGTGAGGGAGCTTCTGATCTGCTCGGGCAGACAAAGTCTTCCTTAGCGTGGCGATCTCTGTGGATGGTGTATCCGGATCTACAACCACATGGGTGATGGAGGGGTCCTCACAATCATTGACAACAGTGGCACCTGCAAATCTGGCTGTATTTCGAGCCAAAGATAGTCGATAGCCGCAGCAGGGATGTTCCGAATTCCCGGCGTCTGGAACCTGCGTTGTCTGGTCGGGAAAGAAGAACGTCAAGTTTTGAAAAAGCCACCCGCATGGGAGATCCCATCCTGCGTCCACTCTCTCTTGGATAACTTCTCTAAGCTTCTTGGTAGCTTCGCCTCTCGGGGGCACATCGGAACTACCCTTGTCCGCGCTTATCTTATCAAGCAAACTGACCAGCTCTTCCCTGGTGACATCCCGAGCGTAGCTGTCATTAAATTGGTCGACACTCGTCAATACCTCCTCCTCCTTACTGGGCGTAGTGAAAAACATGTGCCGAGGTTCCAGGGGAAGAAGCAAGTCTGGCAGGCCCGCATCAATCTCATTCTGCCTCACACAGTCTAAGATCCAAGATGGTCGGATGATGCTCACATCGCCATTCTTTTGCAGAGAAGCTGCCTTCACAGTTCTTCGGTCCGCGATACATACGGTGTTGGGAGCGGCCTTGTTTGTCTGATATATCTTGCCTCCATTCAATTTGACAAGCTGTTCCAACTCCGCCTTCGATTTCTTGATTGGGGCTACCGAGTCGGTTAAAATAAAGAAGTTGAACCCGTCGAAAATATGCCCTGACGGCCCTTCATACTTCACCTCCGCACTAGGGCTGTATCCTGCAACCGTCAATTCTTTCTTTGGTCGCTTCACCCCTTTTTTGCGGAAGTTCTCAACACTGAATTCCTTCTCCTTTTGCTCTTGCTCCACGTTTGACTTCAGATCCAGGAACTCTTGCATGGAAAGCGCGCTCTTCCAGTCCTTATCCATGCGTAACCTCTTAAACCGCGGAAAGCGCAATGTCAGACCGACCCGAAATTGGTCACTGATCGATACTGATGCTGCTTTAACACAGAGGACCACCGAATCCTCTGGTTTGATCCACTGATCTGGACGCTCGTGCTGTGCATTGCCACCCGCCAGCTCAATGTATGCCGTTGGCGGATTTTTGGGGTTCCAGTCCATCCATTTGCCATCAGTATGATGACGAATGTTCGCATAGTCTGCTGCCGTAAAGCCTCCCCCGACCTTGCAGAAAGAATAGCATTTGGTGGACGTATTCCCTTGCGAAGAGCTAGCATTATCGACCCTCAATCCACACAGAAAACTTGCAAGACCCCCTCCTCGGTGACCACTACCATAGTAGCCGCCTATAACTATCAGATCCAGGGACTCCCCAAACTCTGTCATGTATTCAGGCTTCACTTTCATCCAGTCGTCATGTCGTTCATTGAGGCGATAGGGGGATCTCGGGTTTTTGAGCACTAGTCCCTCTGAAGCCTCCGCAACAACTCTTCGAAGCGCCGCTTCAATCTGGGTCTTATCTGTAGCTTCCTCGTAAGGATGGACTTCGAACCGACGGTGGACCGACTTTACACTCTTCTGCAGAGCATTTCGACGATCGCGAAGAGTGTACCTGGTCAGATCGTGCCCGTTCAAGAAGAGTAGATCAAAAACACGAAAAAGCGGCCGTGACCCATTCGAGAACGGGTTTCTCTGTTCGGCTAATGCGGCGGTCTTCAATGTGCCAAATGGTTCAGGGGCGCCCTGCTCAGGATTCCAAGCAATCATTTCACCGTCCAGAATCAAACTGTTGACACCGTCTGCAAAGGCGTCTTTGAGATGTCTGGCCAAGGCACCATTGGGGTCCTCGAGGCTCTTTCCATAGAGGTAGGTGTAATCTTTCGCTTTCCTCGACCAGAAGCGAAACCTCCTTCCTCCTGGCACCGAGCTGTCAGACTGCATATGAAGCTGCATACGCTCCCCGTCGAGTTTCTCCTCAATCCAGAATACAGGGTCTTCTTCTGTACCCCGCATCCGGGCAATCATTCGATCAAAGGACTGCATTTGAAACTGAGCTAGTTGGGGCTGAAAGCATTGCATCAGAGAAATGCCACTGTTTTCAGCCCCCAGTCGGATGTTTGGATCATGCAGCTCCCAGCAAACACGTCGAAGACTACTGGATATGCTATAGAGATTTGCAGCATCTGGGTGCCATACATTGAATAACGTTCGCTCTGTAGCCCCGACTTTCATTTGCCGAAGAATAATGCGGATCAGCCACAGCATCTCCTCGGGGTTCATTCTTCGGTAGAACTCTGACAGGATGGGCAGCTGTTGGTCCTCCTTGGAGGCATTTGAAAGCTGGTCGAGCTTGTCGTTCACCTCCTCGATCGACATATTGCCCACCTCCGTCCTCATAGGCCGTTTTGAGATAACATCGTAGCAGCGTCTGGCAAAGTCCCCCGCCATAAAGCGCGAGGTAGCCAATTGCCCTGGCAGCTTCCAGTTCAAAAGATTGAAGCCGTCCTCGGAGTTCTTGTCGATCTTCATGATTTTGACCAGTAACTTACCGATGGCCTTTTCTTTGATACCGTACATGGCGCGGTCACGGTCTTTGTCCGGAAGAATGAGCCGGAAGGCAGGATAGATATCATCGCCCACTTCTTTCCGCCATCGTGAAATGAACCGCTCAATGACATCCCGTCGTTTTTCGTGTGGAGTAAGGTTTGCTGCCGACTGGCCATGAGGCCCGACTTTTCGCCGAGGAACGGCAGATCCTGTGGGCTTCTTGGAGAGCTCACTCAAAGGATTAAACAGGGTCTCAAAGAGCTCGTGAAATGGCAATGTCTGGGAGTGGTTGTGGGGACGGTTTGGGTATTTCTCGTCCAGGTTTGAGTCTTGTTGTGAGGGTTGACTGTAGGAGTGGGATTTTTCATGATTGCTAGCCTCTTCCTCATCCATGGCTCATCGACGTGCTCTGTATGGGATGTTTGTCGGTGGACGGGTAGCACCAATCATTTATAGGACCAAGTACTAGGCAGTGCAACTGACCAGGCTGGCTAGGTGGATGATGAAGTACTATGGAGACGATAAAGATGTGGAGAACGCCGGTCGGCGGAAAGTCACGTGAATAAACTATGTGGGGTGCATAGAACACTACTAGTACCAATTAGGCAGCAACCACTGCAGGCACCCACCTCTGCTGCCTGTTAAGAAGTATGGAGGACATAGTGGCAGCCTGAAGCAGATCTAGACTGAGTGAGTCTCGTTGGAGAGTTCTGCGAGACAGTGACACTTGATCACACTCGATTACTCCTGATAGATACAGGCTGGGGTTGAATGTCATGGTCTACCAGTAACTGTGAGTCTACAAAATATGTTATTGCTACCCGTTTTGTATGGATTACAGACGATGTATACGGTAATCATCTTACTCGTGTCTCTACTAGTTCTACACAGGTTGTGTCTCCCAGCTGATGGTGATTCAGTATTGACATGAAGGCTATAATACGATACCCACAGTAGTAGGTACCGGATACTCCCAGCGTTAGACACGGTATATAACTCTCTACTAGTACTATCTTCTACCATCGTGACGATTACTGATCTGAGATTTACGTGATACTAACAGCTGCTTATTTGACCGTTGATCAATCTTTGAAAGGTTAACATCTCGTTAATATGAAGATTATGGACTATACTCTGCGTAGGCGTGCAATTTACAGTTTCTTCGTCTTTCAAGCCGAGCCCTATGCGGCAGCAACTGATTCAATCATTTCTATTTCTTCTAAGAAACCGAAACGCTTCATTCTAGCCCCTCTAGGATATCCTTACTATCCCCTTCTCCGTTGCAGTGTGTGGTATCCGAGCTGTCGGCGTGTGTCCGCAAGTGTAGCCCCCCTCTTCGTCAACAACTCGCGGATTTGCGCTTCACTCTCCGAGATCTTGCGAGCGAGCCCAGCTACTTCACGCACGCGGTTCCGAGGAATGATCACGACGCCATTGGAATCAGCGACAACGATGTCCCGGGACTCGACCCGGACCTTCCCAATACCAACAGGCCCGTTGACCTCACCGACCTGGACCCGATCTTTTCCTGTACGCCTCCATCGTCCTGCAGTGTATAATGGGTATCCCTCCTCAAGGGCCAGATCCACGTCACGACACACTCCATCGATCACCGTGCCCGCAACCCCCCGCAGCGCGGCATAGTGAGTCATGATATCGCCCCAGACTGTACAGTCTGTACGGCTACTGTTATCAATAACAACCACATCTCCAACCGCCACATCATCCAGGAAATCCCCTACACTGCCAGGTGGGTCGCTCGCAGGGACGTAACGCACGGTAAATGCCGGACCAACAGTAACTCGCCGGTTACTTGAACCCGAAGAAGACAATGGCTGAATACCCCAGGCCTGTCCTGCGATTCCCAAGGAATCCAGTGCGTCCGAGACTGCTGGCGAGTCCAAACCCCTCAAAAGTCCAACCAACTCCTGATCCTCCGCACTCGCCTTCCGGGGGTTCTCTTGTGATAGTGGGCTGGCAGCCGCGGCAGCCGACACGGTCTCTTGTCGGAGTTGCTCGAAGCGCGAGTCGCGCATTACCGCCGACACCGTCTGCCCGGAGCGTACTGCCTCTACCATCTGGTTTTCGCGGTTGTTGATCTGCTCCGCAAGGGTGAGGACGATCGAGATATGTGCGGCAGGGACGAAGACAGTACCGCACGCGTCCGCGATAACATAGTCATCCTGTTCGACTGTCACACCACCACAGACACGCACGGGCTTGCCAGCGCTGACAGAGACTATGCGACTCCGGCCACTGATCATCGTAACAGCACGTCCGTAGAGTGGATACTGGACCTCGACACTACCGTCGATATCTCTGCATACTCCGTCGATTACGGTACCCCGGATTCCCTTGGCCTTGGCGGCGTTTGCAATGATATCGCCCCAGCAGGACACACCCTCCAGTCCGCCGGCGATGACAAGAACCCGGTCATCACTGCTTACTGCATCGATGGTAGGAGCAAAAGGATGTGGTGTTGGGGCTGTCCCGATCCTCGGGCCTACTTCGACCGTGCTAGCGCGGCCGACGATTTTCGGACAGTTCCAGAGAGGCCGGAGGCCGTATGTGGCACCACGAAGATGGAGGACATCTAATGCATCGGATACTGTATTGGTGTCGAGAGCCGCGAGGCGGTCCAAGAAGCTGGTTGTGTCACTCATCCTCTTCCGGCTATATGTGCGGACTGACTTCGGGAAAGAAACTCGGAAAATTGAGGTAAACATGTAACAATAGTAATCTCTTTGGCAACTCGTAGTCAACTTGTACCCTGAGTCTGTTTATGTATCGGATATAGTCTGTTTCGGATGCAAATACTCCGTATATCGGCAAGAGTATGCGGGGTGCGACATCCCGAGTTGTCTGTCATCCCGGCCGACGGACGGGATGTGATGGTCCGTCTATTTATGGATGCAGCGGAATCTTCTACCCCGTCGCATTCAATGGGGACCCCGCAATCACTGACCTTAGAGTAATATGACCATATGAATCATATCATGGAGCAAGGTAACTAGAATAAGATTGAAGCGATGATAACGCGGGTACATAAACCCGCTTCTACGCAATGAGACGTACTAGATGAATCCGGATGCTGGGCCTCACCTCTGAGCATTATATAGGTATTGTAGTGATACACTATTATCGGGAACTAGTAGGACAGAGTGCATGACATCAGTCCTAGCAATGGGTAGAATTAACAAGTTAGTATCCTATACACCTGCATATCACCAACCCCACTAACCGGCTCTACATTTACCCCCAGCTGGAGTAAGATAACGTAATCAACGATTGGACGGCCTATACGGTTGGACAGCCCATCTGGTTATCCTATATAAAAGAAGTCATTTTGAATCCGTTATATCTCAACCACTACTAAGGTTGAATAGCTCTAACTTCATATATAGATAATATATAGTAGAAAGATTGATATATAGCTTTCCAGAATTTTAAAATTTTTCCTTATATAGATTATATTGATATATTTAAAATTACAGATAAAATACACATATTGTATTAGGATGAGATACTAATTATATTTATATAGATTTTTGAGGAGTATTAGATAGTTATTTATATTATTTATAATCTATTTATACAATATTGAGTCTTTTAGACTTATAATAGTTGAGTTATCTTGTGTTCAAAAAGAGTCTTTTGTATAGTATTACCAGATGGGCCGTCCAACCGTTGATTACGTTAATGGATGTATTGATTCAGCAAGCAGGGAATTGATCATGAAGCCTTTTTGATAGTATTAGCATCCAAGTAAGCGAATCGAGCTATAATGCTGAGCCCATGTCAATTGGCTGCTATCGCGGGATGCTGTGGAATTAATTCATAACTTGAAGTGAGATACTACTACTACGAACTCGGGCTATTGATCCATTGGACTTCTGTTTGTAGGTGAGTAGAAGAACTAAGTACTCTGCCTGGACCGACATTCAAAATCACTCCAAGATAGTTTGTAGGCTAGTCTCTGAGTATTCATATTCTATCGTAATCATACATCGGATCGGTGCTTTATGACACTCAATAAATACACTTGCTAGCTGACCTGTCATTCACGGTATGTCCGCCACCAGGGCCCCGGAGGTCTGCGAACAATTCGGCCATGCAGACTATACAGGTACAGTTCGTGCTTCCCATTAGCCTACACTGGTGGAATAGACTCTCGGCAAATGGGGCACTGCAATCGAAGTCGCATCCAGCTCTCGAGACAGGTACTATGGAAGATATGCCGACATGGGGTGACCATGTATGTCCGTCGACTGAGGAGACTCGTGGCCCCGTCCGTCATGCTGCTACTGCCAGCACCGCCCGGAGCTGCAAGGACGGGAACCTCGATTTCTTGCATACAGATGGCACAATCAAATACTGCCTTCTTCTTATCTTTTGCCCGCTGCTTATCTTCATCTTTGGCTTCCATGGAGTATTCCCGCTCGTCAGCCCTCAAGGCCCCGATTGGAAGGACTCCGCCAGACTCAAGATCATCGCCGGATCCAGAGCTATCGCGTAGCACGGGGTGATAGTCATAGGCGGGTGGCGCCCACCCACTAGGAACAAAGAAGCGAGGTCCCAGAATGTCCTGGCTAGCCAATACCCAGACCTGAACCCACACCCAGCCAGCCAGTGCCAGGGCTGTGGTCGAGTCGGGTCGAATGAAAAGCACATTCCCGCGTGCAGTCAAAAAGTAGATGAATGGAAAGAGTCGAAGGAAACTTTGGCTAACCACAAATTCCCAGCGCAGTGCTTTGCGGCAATTGCGCATAACATTTCGATATATCTGGGGTACCCAGAAGGATAGATATATAAATCCGAGGGTTCGAGCATATATGGCTCCCATGCGGTTGGGCCAAATGAAAGACCAGACAGATATGATGAGGAGGACAAACAAGATAAAGTAGAACCGGGCGTACATGGCACCGACATCACCTCGTGTATCCTGCGCAGTCGGCGTGGCGCCCCGATTCGCAGGAGGTTCGTTTTCCTCTGATGGCGGGTCCTGGTCGGGGGTCAAAATGATAGGCGTTGCGCCAGTATCGGTGACTCGAGTCGTAGTAGCAGGGAGTGGAAGGTTCCCTGATCGCGTAGTAGGATTCGGTCGACGTTCTTGTTCTCTTCGCTCCGGGGCCTGGACTGCCCAAATTTCCATCATAAATTTCATTCCAATATAACTGACCGAGAGGAAGGTCAAGAAGGATGCTGTTGTCATAACAAGGAAGGAAACGGCCGGATAAAGCTCCAGTAGCATGAAAACAAGTACGAATGAATCGCCGAACGCCATGAGCGCGATCGTGTAGAAGCTGATCCGGCTCCTAGTAGATGGCGTGGATGCTTCTTTGATTTGACGTAACAGTAAAGCGATCTGGCCAACGGAAAAGGCCGAGATCATAAAGATGATGCGAGCAGAGAATTTGCCAAATTCCTCCATTTTCGGCCCCGATAGATAGAGTGCTTCTGTCGGAGGGAAGTCAGGAGCTCCCTTAGTCTCTAGAATGTACCCACAATCAGGCGAGAACATGACGGCTGACATAACTAGGGGCGGAGGAGACGGAATGGGGGCTCCCATTGGATATCTCAGCTCTTGTTCTATCTGCTCGATGATCGTTTTATCTGTAAGGTAGCCATGGATCGCGACGGGATGCAGCTGGAGGTAGACGATATGTTCACATTTTGGAGCAGGGTATTCTACCTGCTCCGTCCCGACAAGTGAGGACCAAGGAAATAGGGTAGGAGGCCGATTCTGCTTCTCAGATATAGTGTCCGAGAGGGATTTGACGAGAAGCTGGTGGGTGAGGTTGTATGCGTCTGGCGACATCATCAGATGCGGTAATGCGAATACGCCACCAAATTTCTCGCTGGTTGTAGTCAAGATGATAGCGCCCGTCTCCGGGAAATGAACACCATACAGCGACAGGTACCAGGTGTTACCCCAGAAATCGCCGCTCTCCACAGCCAAAGTTGCTCGGATCTCCCGAACCTGGCCCTCGGGCAATTGGACTTCCTCACCGCCGCCCTCCCGGAGATCAAGGTAGAAAGTGCCACTATCCCCCGTAACATTGTGACTGAACTCATGCGTGAAGTATTCGTTCTCCAGTGCAATTGCAGTCGTGTTCAACAGGGCATGTCGTTTGTTCTGTTTGTGGCGTACCCATTCCCCGCGCAGCTTACCGGTCGCATTCCGATAGACTGGGAGGAGTAATTGGGTCAAGTTAAGACCGGAGAAAGCGTCAGGCACGGCAAGGGCCTTGGGAGGCCTCAAGCCCGCCTCTGCCATGGTGGACCGCAGCTGAAACCGAGCTCTATCCTGAACATCTGGAAGAAGATCCCAAGCATAGCTATCGTTCTTCCTGACACCCGAAAATGGGAGCCATCGGTCGGTTCCCGGATCGAAGTCGCCATACTTAGACTCATTCAACATGTGAAGCGCGTTCCGCTCCCTCACAAGCTCTCTTTGGTGCTCTTCATCCTGAGAGACCAGAGGTGAATGCGACTGCGAGCTCAGAAGCAGGTAGAAAACTACCAGAAAGAAGAAAAAAGAACCGCGGTGATCCATAGGTGGCCACAAATCGCGGGCATCGAACGGAGGAGGGTTGCTCCTGGAGGCCCAACTTCTGGTGTGCTGCGCAGAGACGGGCAGCCCTCGCGAGATCCTCGACTGTTGTAAGAACGCGAGGAACAAGCAGTAGCAGTACGACGTCACTATCGGAGTAGCACGTGATGCAGCGACCGGGAGGGGCCACGGGACAGTCGGAAGGGTCGATGACACATGGATCCAAACAGAGGTTGGCTGGTACCAGAGAATTGAAGGGGCTAGACCTCGTGCTGTCAAGATATTGCAAGTGCTAGATGCATCGAAGCTGCGAACTCCCTTGTACAACAACCAGGTGGTATCTTATCGGGAATGAAGGCTAGATAGATAGTAGACTTAAGGGGGGCCGACGGGCGGGAAAGCACCGGTGCACGTGAGGCTGCCGACTAGCCCCAATCCAAGACGGATCCGGGGCAATAGATGATCCGGTAGATCGGTAGTATATTACTATTACTACTACTACTATTCAATGAATACACGATGGACGCCATTATCAAAACCCTCAAGTCAGTGAGGACTGTCTATATCTACTACTAGCACAACTGTATATCGGGCTCGATTGGCCGAAAAACAGAAAGTACGATCTGGATTGACTATAGAATTGATTTGAATTGTATCCGTTATATAATCATGAACGACAACAACGCACGACAGGAGGTTACATATCAACCCGCTGTTTGAAGAGACTCTTGCCCCTCAGCCATTGTCGATAGCGCTTATAACGTTTCTTTTCATAATCCTCGGCCACCACAGTCAGGCCTCCCTCCGAGACATTCAAAAACTCAGCATAATCCGCAAGGTTCTCTTCGGCATTAGCTTCCAGAGTGGCCTCCTCTACGTTGCACTTATTTGCATATTCCAGTAAATCCAGACTGGATTCATGCTCACGAATAGAAGTGGCAGTCAACTCGTCTTCAGAGGTCACAACAAGTGGAACCTTCAAAGGATGGTTAATGTAGCGTTCGTATTCTTCTCCTTCTGCAGCGGTCACAGACGGGTTTAGCGAGTCGGTCACCAGCTGGCCAAGAGTCCACTGCGCAATTTGCGTTTTGCTCGGGGTCGTGACCGTCGACTCCTGAGAAGAGTGCATGGAACTGAAGGAGTGAGGCAGTCCGAATGATGTAGATTTCATAATACCTGCAGACGGTGGTAATTTATCAGCGGAAGGCGGCTGATGAATCCAGTTGTAGCTGGACTGGGATGTTGCGCTACCGAGTTGTGGGCGGCCCGCTGGATCGATCGAGGTCTTAAGCGGTTCCTGGATCTTGACGCTACGTGGTGGGTGTCGTTCCCGGTTGATCTGATCGTGGGGGATCCGGGGAACAAACGGACTAATGTCGTAGGGGGCGCCGGAACCAGGCCGGAATGGAAGATAGCGGAGCGTTGAGTTCATTTTGTAAGAGAATATTTTCGAGAATGACGAGACGGCTAATGGCCTATAGTACTCGAGCCAGTAATCGTCGTAGTGTGAGAGAGGTTCCTTTGGAGGTCGCGGAGGGGGTGGCACTTCTTTTTCCTTCAGATTCTCCGGAGTGTACCAGCAAATGTAGTTGGGACGCCTCTTGTTGGACCAGGATCGCGGGTCAGCGTGGTGCAGGTAATAATCGGTCGACAGATCCCACAGCATCGGTTGTCCTTGGGAAAAGATGTAGTTCCCGAGGAACAGATTGTAGGCTTCCTGGCGCTGGGCATCGAGGAATGAATTGTTGTAGTACCGTTTGAAACTCTCCACCATATCGCGAGAATGACTACTCCACTGGTTGATCTTGCGGTATGTGGCCATAGTGTTTACCAGATGCGAGCCTCCGTACTGGATTGCAATGGTATCACCGTGGTCGTGCCACATATCAGTAAATAAGTTGACAGCATCGGTGTCGTACTCCACAGTCGTTCCATCAATAATTCCCAAAGCGTGAAGTTGGTATCCCAAGGCGCGCTTTCCAATAACGAATTGAGCAGCATTTGTACGGTCTAAACAATCGATGCAGTTCGTCCTCGCGATGCCATTTTGCAGACGCAAGCCAGACTCTGCATCATATCCGTTCTTGAAGAAGCCGGTCTTTGGAACAATCTCGCCCGCGATATGCTCTAATGTTCCAATGACGTCTTGGTCTCTGCTTTTTGCAGCACGGCTCATGTCCCAGGGCTGATAGATAATCTTCTTATCCTCGGGCAGGAACTGGTTCAGATACTGGATGGCGTTCGTGTACTCCTTGAGTAACTTGGACTCCCGTGGGGTTCGTTCTCGCGATTTTATCAGGTTGAGCACATAAACTGGTGCGCCGTATCTCTCAAAAAGGTTGTCAAAGTGTAGTGCAGCAGCGGAGTAGAAGGGGTCAACCAAGTTTAGTTCAATATCAGGTTTGGGAGACACCCCTGAGTTTTCCTGTGTCCAGTAGAGCGGTATACTCCCACGGTGTTGCACGTAAGAGGTGTACAGCGGGTTAGCATAGAGATTTGGACCGGGAGAATGAAATGACGTGGCTGTCATCTCGGACACTATCTGCTCCGTTTCAACATCGTTTGCTACATAGCCTAGATCGTTCGCGCCTCTCTTCAGGAATCGGGCCCCTGCGAAGAACCGAGAGCGTCGCGCAATGATCGTGATGTAAACCAACCGCCCGTACACTGACATCTTTGCCTGTTCAACATATCCATGAATGATTGGTAAACACCATTCCCAAGGATTTTTCAACGTTTCGAGGGCTGGCCCGAGAAGATGGTGATTCCAAATGAACATCGTATTGTAGTCTTGCTGAAGGTGTTTCGGGTGTCCGTCCTGGTTGGCGGTGCGTTCCCGACAAATGTTGTGCTGCAAAGTGTGGGTGATATCGTAAGAATAGCTAAAGTAGAAGGATCGGGTTAGATCCAAATTATTTAAGATGGCAATATACCTCGCCTCCTCCGGGTTCTTCTCCGGGCGGAGACGAGACGAGCTTGAAGTCGTTAACGAGATGAGCTCCGTTCCATCGATCTGATAGACATAGTGACCTCCAAGCATAGCAACCTGGCTTCTCTTGGTCACCAGAAGCATGTAGTAAGCATCCGTAAATCGTATAAACCCCAATAAAGCCCATGCACTGCACTTCAACTTCAACCCTCCCGACCGTTTATTTCCATCATCGATCGTATCCAACAACTGGCTCATCTCCCGCTTGCTGTAAACAATATCATCCTCTGAAATGCTGAGGTCCCCGGATTCCGACGTTCGATCGATCTTGAGGATCCTAAAGCGGGTATCCGACAAGTCCATTCCCACCATGTAGAATCGGGTGGCTGTCTCGTACAAGGAGAACTTGTGCATGCGATTGATCCCTTCCTCTCCTCCGGTGTCGAAGAAGGCCGAGCGTTGCTTTTGCGCCGAGGTGGGCGTAGAATCCCGCTCGAAGGATGTTGCAACCTGGGGCTCTTCATCTCCTGCCTCCACCCCATCTTCACTCAGGGCAGGTACTGCGGGGGATGCATAATGTAATGGGGTGAATGGGGAGGCTGCGCGAGGTGATCGGAGGCCATCTTCGTGATCGATAAAGCTTCGAGGGGCCGAGTCAGGCTGCTCTTCTGGGAACTTGGTGCTGGAGCCGGAGGTAAACGAGGCATCGGCGTAAGGGAGGTGGAGATCTGAGGTGGAGTTTGGCGAACTGGTATCTATCAAGGACACCGCTCTGGAGGACTGGTCGTCCAGTGGACCGAGGCTTTTGTCTTCCGCGGCCTCGCGGGAGAGGGACACTTCATCCAGACTCTCCATAATGAAGGCAGAGGCTGGTGAAATCCCGCACCAGCATCATATGTATTCTCGGTTGTTAGCGCGCAGCGCCTATGCGAAAAGATAATCGAAACGGCGACCAGAGTAGTAGTAGTAAGTGACGTCGGACGCGGGTGGGTGGTGGGGCGATGAGCTTCACGTGATCGCAAATCACCCCAATGAGGCACCGATCAGATCTAGCCCTGTTAACTAAGTAACCATCATCCAGCTCAGCCCAACGAAAAAGCTCAGATGATGGAAATAGCATTATACAATGGCATCAAATGCCTACTACACTGAGAAACTTTCTCGGGTTTACGAGAATAAGATTTATGTTGGATGAAGACATTACTGATCACAAAAGCACTTATACGCACTCGGCAACATGCAACAGTCCTGATCAGGCGGTTATTACCCCATGCATTGATACCTCCCGTAGAAAATTGTGATCTAAATTGCAAGCTCCACATTATACTTGGCCAGTATTGTTCTCACAACTAGTAAGAGTAGATCTGAAGTGATCAGTACTTCGACCTAAATACATCCACAACTCCACGACTGGATATATGGGCAATCTCACTCCCCACGTTCCGCTTTCTCAATCTCTGCCAACGCCTTCTGTATCATCTCTTGCGTACTCACCCGGGAGAAATGAACCTGCGCCGCCTTCAAGCCATCCTTCCAAAGATGCCACTTTTCCATCGTGAAGCGCGGTCGCGGAGGAGGATCATCGGCGTCTCCGAATGTTCGTTGGACCTGACAGTTCTCCCATATTCGCTGACCGGCGTAGATATACCAGATACATGAAATACGCACGGCCTCTTCTACCAGTAGATCACTCTCCTCAAACGTTTCTCGACACGCCCACAGCGCATATAGTGATGCGTCAATGGCATGGCCGAGATGGTCTGCTTTCGCGGTCAGCTGCGCCATAAACGCATTTCGATTCTCCCACTCCTGGAGTTCGCGTGGAGGATACTCCTTCCGGGGATCATCGTCGACCTTCTGGGCGTACTCTGTACGTGACGCCAATTGCAGGGTTAGCCGTGGAATCAACCGACAATAAGAAAGCAAGAAAAAAAGCAAGAAAAAAAGAAAGAAAGAAAGAAAGAAATAGAAGAACTCTATAAGTGAATAGGTGAATTTAAGTGAATAGGTGTAACGTACTGGGGTCGTATGTGAAAGAATACATATCCCTCAAGTAGACCCCGAGATAGGGGAGTTCAGTCCATAACTTCATGCCCTCTGACGTTGGCTCTTGGCCCGTATCAGGATCGACAATCTTGGTGCGTTGAAGATGGGCAATGAATTCGATAAGCTTGTGCTGCTGCGCAGCTGGAGTAAGATTCACAATTTTCACAACCGTGACCATGGCAATCCATGTGTGTGTGCCATCGATTTCAGTCGGGGGTTCCCCTCCCTCCTGGTGTAAGACCTCGCGCACCCGAAGCAGATTTTGGACTGCCTCGGCTGGTGAGACACCAGGATTATGTACCAGCTCACTGATGACTTGGTATTCCGGTCGCGCAAGGAACACTTCGCCGAAGCCTTCCATCATGAAAGGGTGTTTCGAGGTTTCAGGAAAGCAAGGTCAACGACACCATCTGAGTGGTTTAAATAAAGGATGTTGGGGCAAGCTGGGCTGGCGGTCAGCACTAGTAGCCGGGATACCTGATCAACTCAGCAGCCAACAAATAACATCCTTCATGTTCCCAACACGCCACTTTTCCCTGACATGCTTTCAATTCAATACTTGCCTATTTCTGCTCTTTCCAAAGGCCAACCACTCAAGCTAACTCGCCAGCAACCATATGGTCAGATGGCCAGAGTCAAAGCCAAGATAGAAAGATGTAGGAGCAGAAGTAAAAATAGATGACGGCAGGAAGATATGCAGAACGACAAGACACTAACTCCTCTTGACATATATGGTATTACCATATTGAAGCAAGGCCTGGTTAAGATATAGTACACATCTATTTTAGGTGCAGATAGAATCGAAAGACAATTTTACTAATAGCACTACTAACAGCACTCCACTAATTCCAGATCGAGTGGAATAGGTTCAAGTACATATTCACTATATTTGCAACCAATAAAACGAACTGCATATTTGCAACCAAAATAAGGGAATATCCAGCGGTACTAGGTAATCAGTGCCAGTAAATATTGGGCAAGGATATTGTACACATGTGATCCATCAGTAATCACACCGTCCCATCAGGAGTCGCTTGCTGCTATTATGATTACTTTAATGAAATAGGCTAACATGATCACTCCTATGCTAAACGAGTACAACGGTCCTATAACGGAAAGTCATCATCTGAGGGATAATGATTCTAAATATCAGTGGCTAATTAATAGTGTCTACAGTGTATAGAAAACTGACCATTTTAGAGAAGATCAAGACTAGGAAGGCATATATGTTCACCTGCTGTGGTTCCTACATTATTATGACAGAGATAGAGGTGTAGACACCGGACAACATATTAGATTGGATCATACAATCATGAACGACTAAAGTATTATGTGAGAAGTAACTAAACGATAACAGATGTCGAGAAAAACAGGAAGAACTATGAATGCTCACGCCTAAAAGAACGGAGAAAGACCTCGAGGAACAGGTATTTCGTGCAGTACTAATAATCAAAGATAAGAAGATACGCAAGACATGAACAAAGGCCAAATGTATACTATCTACATTGCAAAGCTCTTATTAACATAGTGGCAGACGGAAGACACCTGACGAGCATATCTTCCGTATATCCTCATTCTCCTCGAAATTTCAAGGTGGCGGATTTTTGCCGTTGGGTGGGATTTCCGGACAGTGTGTTACATACTAAATTTTCATGTTCCGCACTAGCTTGCATATAAAGGCCAGAATCTATACATCAGAGGATCTTGATAGCAGTGATATTAGCTGGAAATGTTGCTAAAGACCTTATTGAGCACACTTGTTTCTGACAGCAGGGCCCAGTAGATTCTTCATAGAGGGTTTCTATGTGCTACAAGACCTATGTCGCGTTTTTATTATATGGGCCGACAATGTGGGTGGGGATGAGTACTGAAGTAACTGAACTAGGGATTACGGCAAGGTATGAGAACGATAAATCAAGCAAGAGAGTCGGATTAGATCTGCACCTAGCTAAAAGGTCGTCCTGGCTCCTGGCGTTACTACTTCCGAGATTGTCCCAAGACCTGTCTGGTCTGGTTCCCTGCTTAGGACATGGAGTAGTCCATGAGCTTGGCTACCAACGCCAGGGCCTGCTGAGTGAATGTCTGGATTCAGGCAGCCTCCGCTTTCAGCTTCAGGTGAGCCTTCACGTGTTTGGTGAGCCTCCGATAGTGAATTAGAATAAAGTATATATACGTGATGACGGAGCCAAGTTGCTAATCTCGAAAGTCGGCCCTTGTCTTATGCTGAGCAGCAGAGTTGGATGTGAGAGACCATAGCAGTGTTATGGCAAATCAACGCAGAATGGATGCGAATTGTAGGCTTGTCCGAAGATGTACGGGAGTAGTGTCAGCCCCTGCGCACAGAGGAGGGGGAAACGGTCAGAGGCGTAAGCCTTTCCGACCAAGCGAATACCTCTGCACGAAGCGTCGTCTTCAATGAGCATTTCCTGATGGCGACGCAAGGCTTATGAGGTTGAAAGCGACTATCAGTTTCAAATAATCACTCCCCGCTACTGAGGCAGGTGTCAAAGCCTACCCGGCGAGAGTCGTAAGACTGACATTCGGTAAGGTCTCATCTCAGAGTCGCTTCAAGGTATGGTAACTCGCTGATGGTCCTATAAGGGAGCTGCAGCCTGCGTCTATCCTCGTCTCTTCGAGCAAGCCTGAGAAAACAATTGATGGGGTATATCAATCTAATGTAGAACCAAACAATGAATATACTGTCTAGAACCGAGCGGCCGGCGGTTTAGTTTCTTGCGTAGTACATGATCCCGCATTTCCCTGACGACAATAGCACGACGACCTGATTGGAACATCGGCCGTTGCAACTGCCTGTTTCAAGAAAGGCTTCACGATTTGAGCTTCAGCCGTTCGCCCCAGCCTGTTCAGGCATTCGTAGTATCCATGCAGCGCCCATACATTGTTCGGGTGCTGCCTCGCACGAGGCAGCGTGTCGTCAAACCCAAGATCAGCCTGGTATACCGCTGCTGCCTCCTGGACATGTCCCTGTTCTAGCAGGAGCGCACCGTACGCATGACGGGTCGGTTGCATCCACCCCCACGGCTCGTCATACGGTAACCCATCATCCAGGGTGATAGATCGCCGTAGATGGGTAAAGGCCACATCATAGTTGCCACGGCGATACTCGAGCTCCCCATCCAGCATAGCGTCAGCCACGGCCAAGATGTCCAGACACTTGTTGGTGAATAACATTCGGCTGTAGGGTACACGCTTTACAGCCTCCTTAAACAGCGCGCTCTGTTGACTCGCTTCATCTATCCTCCCAAGCGCAGCCAACGCCACTCCCTTCCCGTACTGGATCATTGCAGTGGTGACACAATATAGCTGCGTGTCATGCGGGTATTCAAGGGCAAGAAGATCCTCCCAACGTCCAAAGCGAATCAGGACATGCACCTTCATACTCACAAAGCCTTCCAGCCAGTCAGCCATAGGCGGGGATTCGATACGCAGGAGCTGCTCTGGAATGGATGACTCCAGACTCTTTACCGTGTCCAACGCAACTTGCGACTGCCCCGCAAACATCGCCGCATATACTCTGAAATGATAATCATGCGATCGATATAGCGTATAGAAATTGACTGCGCCCTCACGGGCGAGGAACTTCTCATCTGCTCGAATTGCGTCCGAGTTCGATGCAATTGCCCGTCGATAATCACCACAGAGAATGTCCAAATGCGATGGCATATGATTAAGATGGCCTGCATCCGGTACTAACCCCCGCAAATGGTCTGCTACCCTGAGTGCTGCTTCCGGCTCACTGGACATCTCCATTAAGTGAATGTATAGATGCAGGATTCCCGGGTGTCGTAGAGCCTCGTCCTGGGTCAGCGCCAGATCTAAGACTTTCTTGATTTGCACAGTATGCGCGTCAGCTGCAGGCTGACCAGTACGT